ATATTTTCTTTATACAAACTTATTTTTTATTAAACCTATAACGTTTCAGTTTTATTTTTTAGTAATAAAACAAGTCTAACATATTTTTAGCATTGTATAAAAATGTCATCAACTTTAAAATAAAATTCACCAAAATATACATTTTTGTTTACAATCATGTAGCTTTGCTTAAAATTGTCTGGCCATTTCTGGGATATGTATGAACATTTCCTCTGGCACTCAAAGGGTTAATGCTTAATTTATATTTTTATCCGCACTACTATATATCTGAAAATAGAGAGTGGTGCAATACATCAATTGGTAAATACGTACCATACTCTTTATTCCAATAATTCTCACTAATAATTGTAGCGGAAACGTTAACAATAATCCAATAATTTTAGAAAGTAGTCTAAAGAACTTGAATTAAATTGACTGGTTTGGTAACCTTGTGTCGAAAGATATAAAGAAAGCTGGAAAAGGGTTTTCAATTGTGTTTTTTTATCCTGCACAATAGTTATAAGCTTTTGAAAACTTAAAATTTTCATAGCTTCCTACCGACAAAATATTGTCATCGCATGCTTTCAAATATAAATCAAAAGCAGCAATAAAGTCTGGTATCATCATTTCTTCTAACATAAATATTTATAGCTAAAAATGCTAAATAATTCTTGGGGGTGACACACCCAATTTCTACCGTGACACATAGGCCGAGAATTGCTTTTTTCACTATGAATATTTATTTTAGACGAACGTGGTATGTGATCTTTTTTACTATTTTTAGGTACCAACACTTTGTCGATGTGAACACCTCGAAATTTTCACGTTTATCTCCATTATCTAAAAAACTGAATCGTTTCTTTATCAGCTCATCGAGACCTATAATCGGAGGATACGACGCGTCGAAAAACGCGTTTCAACCGAGACTTTATAAACAGGTCGGCGGAGAATTTCGCCGTTGGAATTTAAAATATGTCTACGGTAATGTCTTCGGGAAAAAAGAAACTTGCGAAAGAGAAGAGAGACACTTCCTATTTCTGGTCTCCGTTCGCCCTCTGACATAATTATAAATATAGAACAGGCGAGACACGCTAAATCGGCCGCCGCGAGTCCACTCCTTTCCATTCGCCGGTTCATTCTGCGTCTTCTTTGTAATCCCCCGCTGTTCCAAGTGTATTTCTTCCCACTGGCAATTTCTTCGTGGCCGTGGTATCCCATAAGTCCAGTGAAACGACATTCGGATGCGGAAGTCATTCGAAGTAGAAGCAGGAGCACAAAAGCAGCTCGTAAAGCCTCGTACCTACAATTTTCCACGGAGAGCTCGTATTTCCGTTGTCCCTTCCGGACGGTCCAAGCCTCGACTCTCTTTCTTCAGCATCCAGCTGTTGCATTATTCCGAAACGTTCTTCTTCGCTTGGCGAAAAACCGCAGTTGAAAAATTGAAAATGTGGCCCTCGACGGTGAACGCCATCATTACGCTCTCATAGTCCGTTAACACAGTGAGTTCGCTGGATTTCACCGACAATAAAACCTTTATTCTGCGTGGAGTACCTTGAATTTACCCTAATAGATTCTGAGAGACCAAGAGTAGAATACTATAGTTCCCATTTTGAAGAGATAAAATCGTGATATGCCAATTTACTTTAAAGCTTAGATACTAGGGAACTGAGGCCAACAAGAAGTGCTTGTAACTTTTCTGAGAACGAGATTATAGTAGTTCCTGCTTTCAAAAAGCAAAATGAATATTTTCGATGTATTTACAAGGTGGTGTATAACAGTTTGTACAGAAGGTTCCAATAGCCTTGGTTTCAAGAAATAAAATCTAACTAAATAATACTCAAAAAATAAAATCGTTTTGATTCTGAATCTATTCTTGAGTACTAATGACAGTGCACATATGTTATCTTTTTGTAGAGGAGTGTAAAAGATTACAGAGATTAATATTTCGAAACTCTTGAATGTTATACACCAGTGCTTCTCAACCTTTTTAGACTAAACGCCTATTTTGTCGGGTCTTCTTCTTAATTCGTCCACTTTGTTTTTTAGAGCTTGAAATTGCATGAAAATGTCCAAAATAATGTCGGTTAGGTTTAGGTTAGATATAAGTAAAACGATAAATGTATTTACGATAATATTTTCTATACGATATGTGTACAGAAACCATCCCCACCACTTTACACTTTACACTCTACAAGTTTGCAGCCATTAGCTCGATATTACTCGCGACGAAGGATTGTTCGTCACGAGTAATACCGATTATCAGGTCTCACCACGTGGAGGTTGCTGCGACTGAAGACCCGGAGATAAAAGGAATCAAACTTCCTTCTATCTCCCTCTACATAGAGTATACATACATAGATGCATACTCTACGTAGAGTCAACGAGTTTAATACTAAGTACGAAACGATGAAAATCAAGGGAAAAGAAAATTCCCTTCGATTTCAAAAGTCTAAGTCTGACTCTGCCAAATACTTAATTGAACTAAGAGGGGTGAAGCTAAATCGCGACACGACGCGACCATGAAACTGGACTTACTGAGTCAGTCCCGTTTCCTCTTGTTTGATCTGCACTCGAGAGGAAGACGACCGACGTTTCCGAACCAGTCCTCCACACCCTGCACCCAGCTGGGAGTCACGACGGACCCGACTTGCACCCGTCTCACTGCGCTTTAGACTTACTGCACTGCGCTGAGAGCCTGGGCTACACCAGACGGAATACAGTGAGTGGAGAACCGATTCGGAGGAGTCGATTGTCTTCCTCTCGAATACAGATCCACCAGGAGGACGGCAACCGACCTGTCTCTCCAATTACACAGTTGGTCACTTCACTTATCACATGAAGCAATAGTGACCGAAGTGGAGAACGAAGTTGCGAGTCCAATATGGACTTAAGAACAAACAAAACAAGTTGATTAATAATTCTTTGGTAGATGACAGATTCTCGTACATGCATGCCTTAAAACTAAGTTAGGTACATGCCTTAAAACTATCCAAACCAAACTAAGGTACCCACAACCAATACCAAGCTACGATAACTACGGGAATCTACACAAGCAAAAATAGAGGGAGCCGTGACGCGGATCGTCGAAGAATGAGATCGCACCCCTCGTATACCTGTGTCGAGGGTCGCGGCTTGCTATCGAAGAAGAGTGTGATAAGGACAAACAACAACCGCGTGGCTGTTGATTCGAAGGCTCGTTGAATCGAGGAAATATTTCGCGAATCATTAATATCACAGAAATATCATATTCCCCATCATTGTTTATGGTAAATAATAAGTTTGGTTAATAATTAATGTAACTATTGTCAAAAATCAATATTTTTGGAGACGATTTATGCTCACGATTAATGTCTCGAATGAATACTTATTCTGAACCAGAATTGTTATTAATATTTAATCGAACACTGAATGATACTGTATGTATCACAAATGTTTAATTATGTCGGAGATATTAAGTTTTAATTGTTCCAATCAATAGATGTTAATATATAGAAAAATATCTCACGATTACTTATATAATTTTATTCTCAACTTTTCATGTTCGGGTATATACATACTTATATATGTATATCCGAAAGTAATATTACTTTCTCGAAAAACATTGGTATAATAGTCTGAAACTTTAAAATGAATTAAATATGTACATCTCCGAATTAAATGAATATTTACAATGCATATAGTAACATTCAGTCTTTGATTCAAAATTAATAAGAATCACGATTCAGAATAAGTATTCATCGAACACAACAATGGTGAGAAATTTTTATGTATCGTTATATCTGTTAGCTGGAATAAATAAAAGTTAATTTCTGTAAATAATTCTGTAAAAGTCTAATAAATGGAGTCAGAAATGTATTCAAATCAAAACATGTTAGCAAGTTTTTGACATTGTTCTTCTGTGCTGCCTGAATTTTATTTTTCTTATATAATCGTGTACTCAAAGAGTTAAGTCACGTCATACGCAAATTGTTATATTTGTCGATTTTTATTATTGGCTCTTGCAAAATGATCATCGCCCCTAAAATCAGTCAATTAGATAATCAGCCACTTTAAGGTGTCACTCGCCACCGTTGAGGAACAATATTATACACGGAGCTAACAGGAATTGTACGCGTCAGCGACATGCAAAGTAAATTTTGAATATTAATATAAAACAGATGACTAAATTCTTTGATCCGAAGCGTCGTATGAAACACTGTGTTGCACGAGAAGTTTGCGATCCACCTAAAATCGCTGGGGTGTATTTCGGAAGGCTAAAGGATTCGCTGCTCTGCGTATAGGACCAAACGCGAACAGAATCGAAGGACGGTTGTTTTGGTTCGCGATCCATTTGTTCTACGAGGTGGAAAGTGAAACGCGGCTGGGAATCGACGTCCTAAAGCGACCTCGTCGATCAGGATGCAATTATCCTGGGATCTATCGCGGTAGGAGGTCCTGATTCTGGGCCTTCTTCTGACTGGTAACCGTGACGGGCCGGTTTGTTGCTGTTCTAACGAGGCTTTGTTACACGACTCGTGTTCCCCTTCACCCCGATCCCGTGAAAGTAGCTTCTCGTATTTTCATCTGTTCGTAACTCGACGCGGAATCGCGAAAGCGAGAAATCACGAAAGACGTACAGGATGAAAACAGCTGCTCCGCGGAGATAGCGATGCTTATCGTCGACAGGTGATCGAGAATCTTGCGTATTTTTGTCGATCGTGTTTTCTTTCTGTCTCCCTCTTCCCTGTGAAGTAGGAAATCGTTGTTATACTATAGAAAAATAAAAATAATATTTTAATCAGTAGTTAAATATTCGACTTGATAAAAATTCTAATCTATTAGGTAGACAAAAGTGTAATAATTTATTCCAAAAATACACGAGTTTAAGAAATGAATTATGTTTGTATCTTGTGAAGGATTCTTAAAGTTTGAATGGATTTCTTCTATTGCTACAGATTAAATAATAGAAGAATGTTATAATATATTTGATATGGTAAAACACTGTTTGTTTATTAATTCACCTTGTTCTTTTTCATTAATAGATTATCGTGGCTGAGACAGCAGCAATTGAAGCTCGCCGCGAGGAGGGACGAAAGAAACCCAGGGAAGCTATGGCGACAGGAGACCGGAAATCGTGTAATTGGCGAGCTGAGGAGTTTGCAGAGAGGGAGGCTGAGGCACGACGGATACGCGAGCGATTCCGCAGTTCTCGACGACGATGATGACGCGTGGATGACTAATTCCATTTCCGGACAGGTAAGATGATTAGTTTATCGAATTCACCAATGGAAACTAGACTTTCCCATTAATACTAAACCTACCGACATTTCATAATTTCATATATACCTAAATTTCTACCGTGATCGGTCAATAAACTTTAAAAGTGTTACATTTGCTACAGTCAATTGAAAAAGTATTACCTCGTATTATACTTGTATTATATATAATCTATAATACTATATAATAATATATAATAATGTACAATATATAATTGTATTATATATAATGTGATAACATTGTATTGTATTGTATTAAAAATTTAAACTGCGCTTCAGATGCTCTTAGCACCTACAAATCAGAAATATCTACTAAAATATAGCACCTACTATTATACTTGGTGTATTAATAATTCCGCACTTAATCTCAAACTTTAGAGATCGCATTAATCATGTTCTAATAAAGTGCATGATAAAATCATTTAGCCCTCGATTGCTCGAGTGTAATCGACTTGGGTACTAAGGAATGCCATTCAAAGATCGAAATGTTATACGTGTAGCTTATTAATTCACTTGTGTTTGATTGATTTGTTCTTATCGTACATCCCACCTGTCATTACATGTTATCTTTAATCTCTCGTATAATCACTGTGATAACAGACAAGTACTGATGGTGTATATTACTTATTATGATACGTATGACGTAACCGTATAACATATGGTATAATAGATTACAAAATACATATCTTTGAACCAGTTAATGTTAAAATATCTATGTTACCAAAATTTTCTTGTATCTGCCAATGAGTTCTATCAGTCTACATTTTGCTCCTGAAACTCTGAAACGCCACTTTACATGAAAATTATACAAATATACGTTTAAAGATAAAGACGTTGATGATTAATTAATTTAGATGCAATCGAGGCCGCTTCCATATACCTCGGCGCCAGCGAGTCCTCTGCTTCCACAACGATCAAGCAGCCGGAAGTACAACGGTACCACCGGAACCGGTACTCTAGGCAGACCTCGAGCAGAGAGCGTGAACGAACGTCCTTTCATGTCCGTGAAACGGGCTTACGAGTATCGCAAATACAGCGACAGTCAGGTAAGTGTTTATACAACCAAGCTAAAACAGTCTACGCTCTTGGTTCGCTGGAGTCGATCGTGGTTACGATCGTTTCAAACATGGAAGGGAACGTAAAACATTCAACGTTCTACGAGGAGGTCTACTGTAGAATTTCAACAGGGAAGCAATCTTTACGTTCCTTGGCAATATCCTTAGGTCGTTTGCTTTAGATTTTCCTATTTTTCGTTATAGGAGCAAAGTCAATTTACATACCAAAAACTCATTTCTCGAATATAACGTTTATTAGACGTTTTACTTTTTGCCTTGGCGTTAGGTCGTTTTTATTTTCGTATTTTTGAAGGTGGCGCAAACTGGAGAGTCGAAAAGGAGTGAAATCTTAACTAAGAATGTCTAATCTACCTTATTGTATTAATAACGTGTTTTTGAATTACGAGAATTGAAAATTAACCATGTACATGTATGAAGTAAATATTTCTTTATTATCGAGACTACAACTAATAATCCAAACTCCAAATAATTAATATACTTCATTCAAGTACCCTTGTTTAAAGATCATTTTATATTTCTTTTTCCCCTGATTTTCGAATCAATAAAATGTAGGAAATTTAAGTTATCAGGAATGATTAGAGTTCTCATAAAAATCCTTTGGTTTACATTAGGTTGTCCCGAAAGTTTCTTTCGCGAGTTGCACTCAATTATTTTATGTGATCGTGTTTATATAAATAGACAATCTAATTTCATTGATATTCATGTTTTAACAGTAATGGAGCGAAATGATTCGTGCACAATTCAGTAATGTAACATAAAACATAAAATATTGTGCATGTATTACTTATTAATAAAGCGAAAGAAACTTTTGGGACAACCTAATATATGTCTACAATAAGTTAATATTTCCTTACAAAAGTATACACGAAATTCCATATATAAAAAGTATGAACACTTTTTCCAAAATATGTATAAATAAATGTGTAAAGTTTGAAGAGGCTATTATCGATACTGATTGAGAAATAAATTCATGAAGAAACGCCTCTTTTTAGAGTTCTAAGGTAGAAGACCTCCTCGAAGTAATAAAATCATAGAGACGATCGTACGGACGCACGATGAGTACTTATTGAGTTGTTTCGAACGGTCGAGGAAGCATCGAGATTACGGTGCCGGTTAGCCTAAACGCTCAGAACTGCTTAAAATAATTGTCGATAATAAGGATAATAAATTCAGGGCGGTTGCACGATCGATTCCAGTTCACGTCAATGGACGGCGGCAGCACGAACGCTACAATTTAGTCCCTCATAGTAAAAGCAGCTCCTTCTGCGGTGCCGTATTTTATGGTTATGCCCCGCAGTTAGATCCTAAATAGCAAGAAATAGCTCCTTAGTCCGTAGACCGCAAAACGATCGCGTACTTAAACCCGGAGTGCAGCTTAGTCCTTTCTACTGCCTTCATTTTATAAGCAACCACCACACAAAGTGACTCCCAATAGGGTGTAACGTAGGGGGGTAAGTAACTCGATTCACGATCATCGATTGTAAATAAATGTATCATAAATTAATACGATTAATTTACTAACGAAGAGTTCGAATAATTGGAATGGCGGTGCAACACAGAGGCATACAAGACTTCTACCGACATCATAGGAACACCAGCGTTACTAGTTGAGAAACGTCCGCGTAATCAACGTGCGCGGAAAGCTTTAGCTATTTCTTAGCTGGTTGCGCTTGTGTTTCTGTATTATGACGTTAGGACATGATTTACGCCTCTAATCCAATCATTGCAGATTTGATTATGGAAATATTTGTATTGAGCTAATTTTTTGTATGTATTGTTATTTAGTTGTTATGAACAGTATATAAACTATCTGCCAGGGATGGTTGTTTGAACTACTTTTCAGATTTCTCGACAGATGTAAAAATTTTGATTCTTGCAGATATTTAATAAACTACTATATTTATTGAAAAAGTGGTTATTATTAAACATAAAAATCAGAACTTTCGTCTCACGTAGTGTGTAAACTATTAACACTTTACCGATCGGTAATTTATTATTCTTCTATTTGATATTGCAAGTAATACTTTCTTATTTATTACTGATATAGTATTGTATGCTCCCGTCGTTATATGAATTATGAAATATCCAGTCCAGTCAAATGACCGTTTTCAAACTTTTGCGTACACTTTTTATATACAGTGTCTGTATAAATCGTATACAATTGTTTCATGCATTATCCAATGTAGCATGTGAAATATTTTTAAAATACAATTGAAAACCGTGCCTTTAAAACTGATCATTTATTCGATAACGATAGAAATATGTATAAATGAAACATCGGTAGGTTTAGTGTTGATCTAAAAACGATTCTAATAGATAAAATAAACATTGTATAATACTAATGTTAGGAAAAGATAAAATATTGTTAAATTGAACTATATGTCCAAACGCTACCGATCGGTAAAGTATCAACTATATAAACAAAATATGTCATACATTTTTATTTATAGAAAACATCCTTATCATTACTTTTAATAATTATCTTTCCAGTATATACAACAATTTCTGATAAGCTGTCTATCAAATAATTTCAGCGCCAGTCGGAAACATAAAATTTATTTTCAAAAGTACATGGAAAAAATGAGCTCGAAATGATATTTCTATAATGTCTTGTATATTTGAATATAAAGTGATCGAATTACTCGTATCATGTAAAATCTACTCGATCACGCTGACAGCACGGAAAGGTGTAGACACCTCAGACTTCCTCTAGCATGAAGCGCTTGGCTTGCTTTTCAGAGCCCTCCGACATCCCCCCGCTCAGGCTTAGCAGCCGCACAACCCTTAGGATTAGCAATGCAGCAACAAGCAACGTTCACTAGCGCGGACAAGCCGCAGCCGCCGCGACCAGAATCGCGCAGCGACAGTTTTATTCGCGCTGACGCTTTGTTGCGCGAGCACCGCCAACAGCAACAACAATTTTCCGCCAGCAACGCCACCAACAATCACACGGAGCACAAGCAAGAGATGGGCCAGGATTTCGCCTCTAGTCGAAACTCTAGACCCGAGTCACGTAACCGTATTGTGACGTATCAGACCTGCAGCATAAATACCAGCAACGACAGGACCGTCGACCACGTGGACGCCGGATTGCTGGCTTTGGTCGACCAGCAGCCGACCGCTCAAACAGCTGCTGACCCTCTCGTGAGCCTCATTCAATCACTGGCTGAAATTTCGCCCGTTCGTTCGTCTTCATCCGTGACTAACAAGTCCGTGAACGATCATCCTGCAAGCATCGACATGGCAGCGACCACGACAAACGTCAGCAGCAACGTTGCTAACGCCATCACCACTAATTGCTCCCCTAACCAGTCGCCCAAAGCATGGCAGAATTGCACCCAGGTTTGTCCCGGCTGTGAAGCCCCCTCCTGCAGGAATCCTTAGTGGTTTGACTTGCACAACATTTTTTTGTTTTTCGCTTTCGTGCGTATGCACAAGGAACGTGGAACTCATCTCGTGAATCATCCCATTTACAAAGCGGATCACTTGAATTTATTGTTCGAAGATAAGATTCGGGTTGTGGGAATTCATTACTTATTCGTTAAGAAACAAATTCAAATTCAAACGTGAAAGTCATTTTCCTTAATTTCTACACTTGTCTGCTATCTTTCAGGCGGTTGTCTGATCCTTTTCGGTTGTTTTAAATCAAGAGTCTACAAGATAGTGGTGAAGAGATCGGAATTGGATAACTCATTTTAAAAATGATCACAGATTGCACTCTCAAATAAATGAATTCATATACAAATGGATTGTATGATCGGTGGAAGTTAAGAGTTTAGAATTAATTTGTACACCTAGTAAATGGATATATTCACTAATGACGAGCCGTAGAAGCATATTTTCGCTATTAAATATGATCAGATAAGATCGCAGTACACAGGACCGATTATTTTAACGAAGTCGTTCAATATACATTCACTAGAGATGGTTCACATTCATTGGCCATCAGTTTTCACTGCAGCTAATACTTTTCTCAAATAGAGTAAAATCTCGGACCGCTCCTTGTGCATATTGTTAACCACGTTTTAGATTGTAAATTTCGATTGAGATTCCAAGATTGCTTGACACGCCTAGCTTGGGCTAAATGCACAAAGCGATTAGAAGTGTGCAGCATTTTTTTTTATCAAATGTCTAAGGTGAAACAAGCGAGTGACGATAAAAATTGAATGAAAATTCACAGTCGCACAATGACTCGGGGTCATCGTGGACCGAGAGGAGCATCAGTCCTGGAAGCACTGTAGTGGGTGGCGCGTCCAGACCTCAAACGCCAGCGTTTCCGGTTCATCCTCGAACGCCATACGTCAACAACTCCTCGCCTACGGTGACATTCGCATCCGATCGTCCGTACGTTACGTCGAACACAACTTACAACTTAAACAACAACAACAACAACATGAACCACGTCGATACGGCCGGGAACAACAACAACAATGTCGGGAACTACGGTAGCGAACGAACGATCTATATCGAAGAACGAAGAGAAGTCTCGAAGGAGACGGGACTTCCTCCCAAGAGTCCGACGACACAGAGGTAAGGCAACCAAGCTTCGTTTTAACACGCTACTGTTAATGTGTTTTATCTCCCCCACCCCCTCTCCCCGGACTAGTGTCAATAACGTTTGAGTTTCGAGACACTTAACTCCGTCAATAAAGTTACAGCTTAACAGTGAGGCTAGAACGAAAGTAATTTGTGGAGTACAGAAAAGAGGATGTTAATAAATGGTCAATTTTGGAGTAGCTTCGGCAACCAAGTTATTGACAATCATTCGTTAAGTTTCGAGGAATTAGAAAGTCACAATTATTTATCGCCGATATGATGGGAAGGTTATCAGAAAGTTGGCGAAAAATTAGGAATTTTGCAAAAAATGCAAAATATTGGACACTATTTTATAGATAAAAGTGTATATTAATATTTTGTGCAAAAAGCTCACAATAATATTAGTTACCACTCATGAAAAGCGATAAGGGTAAAATATCGGATAAGGGTTCATTTATTCGAGGAAACATGTTTGTAATTGTACTACATATTTACATAATATTTACACGACAAGCAAATAATAAGCGTTATGCCTCGTCATCCTCTTCCTTCGATGAAGAATCTTCGACAAAGTAAAAGGATGTTAGTATGCAAGTGGATGTATGCTTAGTGTGCTTAGTGTCGAACAAATACGAAGAACCACAGTATTAGTTATACTTAACGAGTGATTCCGTATTAATAATTTAAGTGCTGAAGCTTCCCGTAAATTGGGCACTTTTTAACACTCTTCTTTTTCTCGATAACTAATCTGGAGTTATCCCCATCACTGTTTTCCTTTGAATAATGAAGCAATAAAACCATTAATTTTTATAGTTTCTAACGTATCTTTATAAGAATATTGGAATACCCAAAAAAAGTGTACTTCCATTTTAATTTAAAAACTCGGGAAATTAAAAAATTTGATTACGCACACCACGATCAATCCAAATCGTTTACTTTGGAATAAAATGGAGAAGTTCACTGTCAATTTACAATCTATAATTTCGATGAGTGTTGGTACACAGGCAGAACATTCAAAATTATCAAAAGGCGTATTTTCTTTTAATGGCTGTGTGTATATTACAGGTGTAATAATTTCTCTGAAATTTATGAATGAATTTAACATACTTGAACATAATCAATTAACCTCTGAGGTCATTCGAGACTCGTCTGCAATTTAATTTTTATTCGGCTTAAATCTAATAAATTTGTCGTGTTCATAAAAGAAAAATTGTCATCGAAATCAGAGATTGTCGATTGCGTGACGTTCCTAGTTAGGTGCAGTGTGCTTTGTTCGCGTTTGACGATATTATGCTACTCCGAGCCATTGCTGAGGAGGCAACGATTATGACGCAGATTGATATTCGTGATTCTAGACGCTTGAGTTTCCCGGCAAGCGGGCCACTTAAACAAACGCATAACAAACGATGGCCGCTCACTAATCAATCGGCATCGTTCGACTATAGGTAATATATAATTGAGAGCACTGGAACGCGTGGGAAATTGCAAACTTCGTTTTCTCTGAACGACGACGTGACCGATCGACGCGAGAGAGACGCGTCGGTTTCAAGGATGCGTCGTGAATGTTTTAATGTCGTGCCACTAACCGTGTGTGTTGGTACACTTCCATTGCAACTGCATCGTACTGGGAAACCAATTTACATTTCGAGAACTGTTCGTATTTTGACCATTGTTTGCGAATCGTAAACTTCTATCCCGAGTATTAGAATTGTTTCATAATCGCTGTATACAATGTGTTCGATCATTTGAAAACTACAGAAACGAACATACAACGATCTCGTTGGAAACAGTCGATGCAGCTGCACCAGTTTGCAGCATTATTAAGATGTGAACGAAGAACGGAGGTCACGTATATATACGTCGTGTGTGTATTGCACCTGTCGAACTAACAAAAGCTCGAGCTTCTTGCATCGTGTACTACCTAGAAAGCATATCATCATGCAACGAATGTGCAAGCATCATCATCACAAAAATAATAGGTGACTCGCGTTATCGATTAAAATGTACTTAAAATTTAACAGGTTTGACAATAATTCACTAGACTTTCTGAAGCATTCTGTATGTACGTATGTAGTACCTGCACGATTCTGCCCATACTTATATTTCAACCATAATTAAGTACCGGTCTAATTAAATAAAAAAATAAAATAAGAATGCTCTGGAAAGTGTACGAAGTGCTTTTTACCTAACAAAGTTTTAAATTAGACATACAGAGTAAAGAATAATTTTATTTTTACTTTCCTGAAAGTTTAAAACAATTTTTGTTCGTTCCAAAAAGTCGATCCGATCGGTTGAAATTAAAATAATGTAAATTCATTGGTCGTAGAAAGTAATTAGTGTGCGATCTTAAACCGTATATTATTCGAAAAATATATAAAGAGTCTGTGGTCCAGCAGCAGATTAATCACAACGAAAAGTCAACGTCGCTGATTAATACGTATAATAATATTTGCACTGTTTGCTTGTTTCGGTGAGAAATATTATCTTAAAAATCTTACGTGTATATATGCGTATTGAACGTGTGTCATTGTTAGACAAAGCAGTTGTAATTGGCGACTCACTCGATCATACTTTTCTCTCTGTGTTTTCTGTGTCAATATTTCATGTTCCTGTTTCCAACCCTCCACCCTCCCCCGTCGATCTTTCTTACATTTCTTGTATGTACCACGTTTCCAATGTTTTCTCACGCCGTACACACCACTTTGCACGAGTCACCTGACAAACACACGACACACGCGTCTGCCTGCACGGAAAATGATCTCGCGCGAAATGCACTTTGTAACGATACGTGTGATCGCTTCCTTGTAGCAAGGACCGATCCGTTTCTCCGATAAACGAGTCGACGATGTCGCAGTCGCAAGCTGTTTCACGCAGCCCTGGTACTCCGACTCACATCGAATTCGCCCAAAGTCCAAAGGTACGTATCGTGAAATCAATCTCGTTAAATATTTACCAATTTAAACCTTGGTCGACTAACATCAACGTAATCCATTATCATAAAATAACCTGTTCTTTAACTTAACACTGAAACTATCTATCCATTCGATTTTACTCGTGTACCTCAAACTTCTTTTTAAAATAATTTAATCGTAAATCATCCTTTTGCTGTAATTTTTGGTGACGATTATTGAAATCGGGAACTAATTATATTCATAAATTGACTCGCTCCTTCTCTCCTTATTTCCAAAGATATAGTAATGCATGCATTACATCTGCTTGTTACCACTGATATCCGGTAGTTTTATTTAAATTATCAATATTTGATTTCCAGTTTCGTTTGATTTTCTAGCATGTGTTCAGAGTTTGAATTTATTTAGTATTTTTTGATCATTTTATTGATAAATATCGATGTAATGACATTTATCTAAACTTCCTTGTGTAATTATAATTATTGTACATTCCTTTATCAAAATCTGTATATTCTTCATAGTTGCATTCATGTATATATATATATATATATATATATATATATATATATATATATATAAATAATTTATCGTTAATCTCAATGCCAATAGTATATTTATTATAAACAACAGTAAACAAGAATCCAGTGAAAAATGTAATTATTGTAATTTACATTGCATGAGATGATACTATATATAAAAGTATTATTATTAATTATAGAGTGCCGCATCGTACACCTCCATAAACAGCGGCGGCCAGTCATCTCCCCAGGTCCAGTATTACGGTTCGAGACGGTCGAGCGTCCATTCGAACACCGAGCCTCAAGAAGTAGCCGATGCCAATGTTAAATTTGTGCGCGACACCAGCAGGATCTGGTACAAGCCAAACATATCTCGGGAGCAAGGTGTGTGTGTATGTGTGTTTTTCACTGAAATAATATTCTCACGACTACGAAGAGTACGGAATGTTAAAATACGTATTCCACGTTTCGATAAAAAAGCAGAGAGAAATTCGATTTAAATGGTAATAAAGTGGAATCACGTGGATGTTCGATTACGTTGATGTTGATTCGTTGCCTGTCGATCATCTGCCGCCGCAAACTTCTGTTTGAAACGTAGGAGTAGTTTCATATTAAGCTCTAAATTTCAAACTAACCAATTTTCCATTATTTCGAGAGAAATTAAACGAATTCGAATATTTCGTAGCAATCTCGATGCTGAAGGATGCAGCACCAGGGACATTCGTCGTTCGGGATAGTAATTCTTTCCCTGGAGCCTTTGGGCTAGCTCTGAAAGTAGCAACACCGCCCCCAGGCGCACCGAGCAGCCCACGAGACCCATCGAGCGAGCTGGTCAGGCACTTTTTAATCGAGCCAACCTCCCGCGGCGTTAGGCTGAAGGGTTGCGCGAATGAACCAGTTTTCAGCTCGTTGTCTGCACTGGTTTACCAGCACAGCTTGATGGCAATGGCTCTACCTTGCCAGCTGCTGCTTCCCGAGCCAGAAGCCGCGGCCAGAGCCCTTGACTCACCTGGTGCAAACAGTGCTCAGCAGTGGTTCGTACAGGGTGCAGGTGAGTCCTTAAAAAATTTAATAATCAACACTCTTCTTAGGAAGCATTATATATTCGAAGATATCTTTCTTCTAAATCGTGTTACATATTCTAAAAGAAATTTACATTGATATTTTGTAAGAGATTTTCAATCGATCACATTGTGTGATAAAGCAGAGGTCTCCAAACTACGGGCCGCGAGCACCACCAATCCGGTCCGCCATAATTTATTTTTATTACAGTGTTAAATTTACAATGTAAAACAAATCATACGGAACAATAATCAGATGTTTATATTTAACAACCAAGTGAGAAATACAATAACTCACATACATAGTATCACTGAGTATTTTCACTATAATTCAAAATTATAGTATTGTTGGTATGATAAGCTAGCTAGGTTTTGTCCCTTGAGACTTAGTAGAGGAGACTTTCATCCAAATCCAGTCACTTTTGCATTTTGTCTCGCCATATTGAATCCGCCATTTTGAGTTTTAAAATTTTGAGTTCACATTTGGAATCAGCGACCCCGAGAACCCTTGTATACCAAATTTCATCCAAATCGAAACAATTTTCTTATTTTGGTCAGCCATATTGGATCCGCCATTTTGTATTTCTAAGTCGTGAGTTCAGATTTAAAATCAGCGACCCCGAAAACCCCAGTATACCAAATTTCATCAAAATCGAATTAATTTTCGTATTTTTGTCCGCCATATTGAATCCATCATTTTGAATTTCTAAATTTTGAGTTCAGATTTGAAATCAGCGGTCTCAGAAACCCCTGTATACCAAATTTCATCAAAATCGATCGTCAGGAAAAATGGATATAAATGTTTCTCTTTGAAAGAACTTTGAGGGATTCTCCAACCAGGAAATACTACAATGTTTACTATTATGTCATTGAAGTTAAGGGGGTTCCTTCTAAGAAATACTACAATGTTTACTAGTATTTCTCGGAATTGGAACGGCTTTACAACGACGCCATATATATATCTAGGTCACTACGTCGGTCAGTCATTTATAATTGTCTATAAAATAGGAAACTTTGAGGTGTCATAGCTCAGCGTGGAATTGTCCGATTCGATTCTACCAAAATTCAATTTGAAGGGCACAATTTCTACTATCTAATACATAGTTATTATCATTGGCAGATACTTTTAAACAATTGCTTTTTTTTTATAACAATGTATGTGACTTTGAAATGCCTAACTCGGCGTCCAATCGTGTGATTCGATTCTAACAAAATTCAAATTAAAGGTTAGAATTTCTACTATCTAATAGGTAGTTGGTATCATTGTTAGATACTCTTAAATAATTGCTTTTTTTTTTTAAATATAATTATTAAATATTACTTTCATTGTACCATGTAGCTGAGCGTAGATTCGTCCGATTCGATTCCAACAAAATTCAAATTAAAGGTTGGAATTTTTACTATCTGATAGACAGTTACTATCATTGTTAGATACTCTTAAACAATTGTCTTTTTAAATATATAATTATTAAATATTATCTTCATTGTACCATGTAGCTCAGGCGTAGATTCGTCTGATTCGATTCTAACAAAATTCAAAGTAAAGTGTCGATTTTCTACTATCTAATAGGCAGTTACTATCATTGTTAGATACTCTTAAACAATTGTCTTTTTAAATATATAATTATTAAATATTACTTTCATTGTACCATGTAGCTCGGCGTGGAATCATCCGATTCGATTGTACCGAAGATCAAATTACAGAGAAGAACTCTACTCTTAAACAAATATTTCTTTTTTCGTAAAACTTACATCGTCAAATACCTTCCTTAGGATCATTCCACAGGAAATTGGAAAATAAATGGAGCAACATATCAAATTTTGTACAAATTTGAGTATGTTGTAGTCTTTAATGAAAATTGTGAATTTTACAGGTGTTTTCCTTTGAGATCATTAAAACCTGCAACATACTCAAATTTGCACAAAATATAAGATGCTGCTCCATTCAGTGTCCAATTTCCCGTGAAATGACCACTCAATATTGTTAAATAGATGTTTAATAGATTAATTCCCATCTACTTAGTATATGCTCAATATAAAATATATATTTCCTCTTTAAAAGAAAGTCAGGTCTAAATGAGTTAAAAAGACTGCAATAATTAGAATTCGATTTATTGGAATCGCTAGACGAGAATACCCTTAACCATTTATGCGTTGTGTTAGCATTTTCTGTTGGTTATTTTTACATGAATTCCTAATTATTTTCAGCCTGCAATGTTTTATACCTTTTCACTATGGACACGGAATCATTGACCGGACCTCAAGCTATCAAGAAGGCAGTCACAACCATGTTCGAACAGAAACCACTGCCCGTAGCGACCATCGTCCATTTCAAGGTCTCCTCGCAGGGGATAACTTTAACGGACAACGCGCGGAAGCTTTTCTTCCGTAGGCACTATCCAACAAACAACATCAGTTATTGCGGATTGGATACCGATGATCGCATTTGGGATTTTGCTAGTGAGGAAACTGGACGACCAGGCAGTGCTCAGTGAGTAGTCCCTCAAAGTTTAGTTTAACCCCTTCCCGTACCATTTCGCTCGACGAAACTACGGCCGGAAACTGATATTTGTGTTTGGTCAGACTATTTGTTTACGAGCTTGGCTCGTGATATTCATGTTTGGGCCAAAATCTTCATCGCGAGTCAGACTTGTCAAAGTACGGCAAGAGGTTAAACACGATTTTTTTTTACCGCTTATACCGACATCCCTCTTTAAACAAACTGTCGTACGAACTAAACACTCTAAGTTTACCAATTCTTCGACACTTTTGGCCCCGGTATTAACTAAACGTATTTTTCCAGTCGCTGCTTCGGATTCGTCGCTAGAAAACCCGCCCATAAGTCGGACAATCAGTGCCACGTGTTCGCTGAACTAGAACCAGGCCAGCCTGCCACAGCCATCGTGAATTTCGTCAACAAGGTCATGGTGGGGAACTCGGTGTCCAAAGCCAACATCGTCTAAATCGCGTTCATCGGGTCTCTGAGATTCTCCCATAACACTTTCATCCTTGAGCTCAGACGACTGATCATCGACACGAAAACATATATTAACAATGTGGAACCGATAAAATGGAAGAAACGAGAAACGAACAGCTCGAATCTCGCAACGAAGAAGAGGCGTTCCCGCAACAAGATTTCATCGACAAAACTTGTGCGGTACAAACGACGCTAGCTGACTTTCGTAATAAGTCTTCATGCATCTCGTGAAACGTAGAATCGAGTCAATAGGGCATGAACGTGTTCTAAAACAGTTACTGTAGCACTTATCGATAGGGGTTGAACGGTCCTACCGCCAAAGTGAAGATCGAAACGAGGCGAGAAACTCGATTCCATTCTTCGCGTCGGTGATCGCACGCTTGAAAAGAGAATTAATACGTGGTAATTATTTTGTTCGGTAACATCAGATTTAATTCAGCGTGGAAAGGAAAACAAACCCCTCGTGGTTTACAAGGGCGATTCAGGACACAAAGATTTATTGAATTAAGATCTTTTTTAAAATTTGGATTATCGTCCCGAAGGTGGCCTTCGTCATAATCTAAAACGTCAACAAATGAATCTTTCTTTCCGCGTTGCTCTTACAAACGATAAAGTGTTGGTGCTTTTCCCTCCACGTTGACTTAGATTGACATGAGAAAATTGTTAACGGCGATCGTTACTGTTGGTAATTATTCTAGCAATTAGTAGAGTAATATAAATGACGCTCGGAGCACAGTACGACGATGCGGTTTGGCGTACTCGATCGATCGTTATTGGGATTTCATCGAACATTGATGAATGATTTCGCTTTTTAATACTCTCCCGTGGTGGAAAGTCTGCGACATACGAAAATGCTTCTAATAACACGATCAAACGTTCATCAGATTCCAAATGAAATCGTATTTGTCACTTAAACGGGCGACTACCGTTTCGAATCGTAACAGTTTCAATTAACAAGAAACATCGCTTAGTTGTGATACGACGATGTTTATGAATTTTCACACCCAGATAGAGCTTTGAAAAATATTAAAGCAAAAATCATCTTCAAAATTATGAATAGAATATCTATAGTAATGCCTAGTATAATGATTGAAATCGAAACACTCTGTTATCGATATATAAAGCGCGACCGGAGAATATTTTTCTTGTTGATTCCGCTCCATTGAACTCTTTATCTGCGACAATAGTCTCCGCAATACTTAGCATTTTCCAATGCTTCATTCGGATGTGAAATTTCATAAAAATCGTAGATCGTCGATCGAGCGCAACGCAGCGCCATACTTGGCCGCGAGCTTGAAACTATTACGCGAACGTATCGATAGCTGGTAGCCGTAGTAGAGTATCGACCGTGCTCTTCGTGCGAATCTCGAAGAGCATCGCGTATTCGCGGGGCATTGCCCTGATCGAACAAAAGCAAACGAAGGAGAAAATAAAAATGGATAAAGTATAAATCATATGCACCACTGTGCAAACGATAGTTGAATCCATGCATGTTATATATATACATATATATATCACGTTATACTTGGGACTCTCGAGTAATGTTTATCGAAGAAAATGTTACGTCGCGGAGCCGATACTACGGTATCGCAGCCCGAGAAGATGCATCTGAATCGAGGTGGTTCACGTTATAAATAGCTGTAAATAAGCAAACAGAAAGTAAGATAATGCCTTGGGGATGGAGAACGATCGGCGTTCTCCTGATCGAAAGGAGCTTGAAGAATGGCAAACGGTGTGGCGTTCAATAGACGTAGAGAGAATCGATTCGATTCGAGGGTGTCAACGAGACGGAACAAATAAACGATACTCGAAGAGGAGTAGCGTATCGAAACGAAGCATCACACGCGTCATTTCTTTTTGATGATCCCCCCTAACCCGTAGGTTCTTGCCATTATTCGTCATCGCTAGAGGGACGTCCTTCGTTTGCCGTTATTGTCGATACCAACGAAGGAGGGCCCCTGCGCGGTGGACGACGATAAGCAGTCAATTATTACGAAAGAATGTTACACATGTAATTATGACAATACCGTTGCAGGAGGATTTACACCGAATCTCGGATCGTATCCTCGGCGTTGCAGCTAGTTTTCATCTTTTCGTATTCTTCTCGGTTTCGGGAGGGAAGATCGGTCGCGGAGGACCTTCGCGTTCTCTCTTTTTCATTGCTATCCAACCCGTGAAGATTGGTTTTCACGAACCACGCAGGTAGACACGATGAAGAAGTGGGGGCACTTGTCAGACACCGTGCTAGTCAAAATTCGATGTGTATACTCGGACGAAGAATTCGATGAGGTAGATGTATCTCGGCCCCCGCGAAAGGGGACCGTCGAGCAACCGATCTTTCTTCCCACTTTCTCTGTTCTTTGTCTCGTCTTATGCGTTTCATTTCGTACACGTGGAAACCCGACTAACAGAGTAATTATTAATTTAACACCAGTCATTATAATAATTATTAATTATTATTACTTATTTACGCTCTATTGTTACGTACGTTCACCCAATAATTGTATCGTTGCGCACCGGGAACGGTCCGCTCTTATAGTTGTAACAACAATAAACAATATTCGCAGCGTAACGTGGTGTGTTTCATTTGATTACGATCAACTTGCAGCGATCGAATGCATCCTTTATTTCCTTTTAAAGAAAAAGTAATGTATCGCGATGTATTACAATAAAAGTTACCGACGTCTTCCGAAAATATTACGGTGAACCAAAAGTTTTTCCTTTTTCTCATGCTCCTTCTCGGCGAATGTTTAAATTAAATAAATAGATCCAAATTTTATGTTATATTTACTTAGCTCCTGAATTGATCATTCATATCGCGTATTAAATATTACCGAACTACTGCACATTTTTAATTCCATTTTAGAAAAATCGTGGGAAAAATCGAAATTCACGTTCTTCTACCTAATAGTTGTAACGGATTTTTGCAGAATGAAGTATTTAAGTATTTATAGAATAAAATATTTACATCTGATTTCTGCAATTTCGAGTCGATCTTTTATCTTTGAGACTAATCTAACCGTATTTGAAATTGAAATAAAAAAAAGGTGATTACTGAAACGAATTAGTGAGAAACCCTGGCTATAATGTAAATCTTCGGTCCCAATTTTTCACGTACAGTTGAGCACTACTGCCTTCTTTGGCAAAGTAGAACTGAATTGGAATTTCTTTTTCGTTTTGGCATATCTAGTTATATCTAGAGCAGTCTCACCTCTGCATAGAAAGTAGGATACTCAGCAATATGGACAAATTGCGTGTCATGCAACATCGCATGCAGCATCCTCTGTGTCGAAATGGAAAGTTATCTGAAAATTGTATAATTTTTCTTGTGGTCGACATTATCTGTACGGATTTTCCATTCACTACCAATGAAAAGTGGAATAATTCGTCTAGCATGGTACGCGGTAAGTGGCAAATTACCTAGATTACCGTTAACGGAACAAGAATGGAACGAACGTCGTCGTGGAGAAAAGTGGTGGAATAACTTTTTGCTCGCTACATTCCTCCTCGTGACGCTCGCTCACTACATTTCATCTGGAGAAGATTAATCGACTTCTAAGATTGTACATTTTTTAGAAAAGTGAAGTATCGATTTATTTTTCTAGACCACTATGCAAGGCTTTCTAGTCTCTACAGGTGTTGACTATTTAAAATACATACTATACTAATCTCTATCAGATTCTCAAAGACTCGAAACTAAATCGATCTAGTATTTAAGTAAAATTTGATTAAACAATTAAAACAAAAGAGAAATATTAGATTGTCTCTTTGATTTTTAAATCAAAATTTATTAATAAAAATAATTAATGAAATTAAATAGTCCCTACCATTCGTGTTTACCAATGCTTATAGTATAAATTTGATTAATACATTTCGTAAATTTAATTTGTGTTATAAATGTCACTTGAGGCTATGGTTCAATAGAGTGCGTATAAAACAAGAATTTAGTGTCATGCGAGACAACATTCTTTAAAACTGAAAAAATAAAGTAAAAATCCTTTAAAACTATTAGTTTATAAATTTTAATAAAATGTACAAACTGTCCTAAGACTTTTGAGAAGCAGTATCAATGTATATGTTAATCTTTTGCACTTGGAAAATTGTTTTTAATATGACGGACCATCAAAATCAAGGCAATTTCGCAATACTTCTAAACAATTCAAAGTGTACCACTGACTCAATGGAATCTCGAGAACTTTGTTCTGCTATTACTGCGAGGAGCCTAGAGATATCGAGAAGGAAGTTGGGTATTGAATACCATACTGAAATCCCGTAAGCCAGGCCCGTGAAGCAAACCAGTGAAACTGTTGTTTTTCGCATACGCTTACAACCAACAAGTAGTTAGACTGGTTTCGACTCGGACCACGAGGACAGTCAATAAGGAGACTTTGAGACAGTCGCATATTCTGGCCTGATTCAGGCCGACCATGGCTGTGGGCATCGAGTCGATCCTTCGTATCGTGTTCTGTTTCTCGTTGATCACCGCGTGGAATCGAGTTAACGCGCGACCGCAGCGCGCCCATTTTGAATTTTCTGTGCAACAAAATTACAACTGTTCGCCATTCGATAAGAAGAATTGGTCCTTGGAAGGTGGAAGCCACGAAGTGTACAGGTTTGTGTCGATCGAACGTTTCTTGTTTCTTAAAGAAGTCAAAATCTCTAGTGGCACGAGATATCCATGATTTTAAAATTACCTTTGGACTTATCTTAAAATTAAATTTAGAAACTGTATTAACACATTGTTGACTGGTCACGAGTATAGTCTTGTTTGCACTTACATTAATTTATATAATTCTAAGTAAACCTGAGAACAACATTTATACCTAGGTCTTTATAGAAGCGTTTTAGGTCAAACTCTTAGTCGCCATAGTGTAAATAGTGTTACTTAACTTGTTACTGTAATTTGAAAAAGTGCACGTATGCGCATTACATGCCTATCCTTGATTTCCGTTATTCCTTCATTTTCTCTTTTTTAAAGATTTACTGAGAATATCAGATAGTTGCAAGGCCAAGTCTTAGAGAAACATAGTAGCAAAGGGAAAAATCGCACTAGAAAGTAAAATATCGTCTTTTCAAAGAAAATGCAGCGAAATGGTTACATTTTGGAAAACTTGTTGGGTATCATTGTATACAGATAAATCCTATATTGCACACTCGAAGATGTACTTGATATAGCCGGTCGGCAAAGTGTTAAGACTTTATAGAAACAATATACATACATATATTTATGTTCTCAAAAGGTTCAATAAACATACTAATTTCGTCGCTTTTATTGAAACTAGGTGACTTTCTATCTAAAACGTATGGTTGATCCAGTATTTATGTTGCAAAATAGAATTTCTTGTTTCCTGAAAATAAAAAGAAAGAACTGAATTATGAACACGCTCAGCATTTTTTGATAGTTGACGTACGATAGAAAAGTTGCAAGCTTTCTTGCAGATACACAGACGAAAGAGAATCAACCACCAATGAAACCCACGATGGATCGACGCTCGTATCTGGAACGTCGTTTCTCAAGAATGTGGGAAGAGAAGTTTCTTTCACTGATATCTTCGAGTCGATGTTTTCCGCGGTAGCTAACGGAATCGGTTCATTCGTGACTTCCATCATCGGCCAGGAGAAAAACGTAAAGTCACGGTCCTCCAAAGTTAGCTACAGGAACCATCAGTTGATCAGATTGTTTCCCAAGACGGAAACACAAGTGAACGATCTAAGGCATCTCAGAAACACCGAACCGGAAGACCTCAAATTCTGGTCGCAGCCATTTCAAAACAAGTACGTTTCCTATTATCTGTTCGTTTTATTCCTATTTTAATTATAATTGAGCAGCATTTTAACGAGGAAACGTTGATGTTCCAGAACAACAGACTTGGTTGTCGCGCCAGACCTTGTTGCCGATGTTAAGACTTTCCTTAAAGACAGAGGAATCAACTTCAAAGTACTGATACCGAATCTTCAGGTACGAAAAATTCTAATACAAGACTTTCTCAATAACAAGTAGAGGAAAGTGGCCAAAGTTGAGGCCCCAAATGGTTTCTTTATAACTTTCTTAACTTTTTGCACTCGACAGGTGACTCTCTGTATATCTCTCTTATTACATGAAGTTAAAACTTAATTCAACTTGTACCATATTCTTTTTCGTAGTCAAATACATCTTTCTAAAAGGGAGTCAGTTCTCTTTTCAAAAAAAGCTTTGTATTACAAAATTGTATTGTAATTTTAGATTCATTTTCTGATGTAGCAACGACAGTTTCTAGATGAAACTTTTAATAAATAAAATTATTTATTTATTTATTAGAAATTTCTTCAATTTATGTAATAATTTATGTTTCCTAACAGAAAACGATAGTCCACCAGAACCCAAAAATGTCAAAAGAGCAACGCGATGACCTGGTCAGCACTCAAGGTCACAGCATGACTTGGAAGAGGTATCATCGATACGGAGGTAAGTGTCTCTTCGAGACAGTGTTGTTTACAATGCAATTATTTATGAATTGAAGTTAACTAATTTACATTTATGAACGTGGTGATTTAGACTCTTTCATTTGGTCATTTTAAACAAGAATGAATTCGGTATATCTGTCATTACCATATTTATGAATGTAATACATAATAATTATTCTTATTATGAGAAAAGGAATAGAATATTCTAATGTTAATTAGTTAAATTTAAACATGATTGTTAACCTCACAATTGTTCACAATCTTCGTTACTTATGTACCTCAATTTTAATTTATTTAAGATTATTTCTCTTTTAATCTCTTAAATCATCTTCCGTGATTATATATTTAATTTTAGATAGCTCACGATAACTCAGAAATATTATAAGCCTGGGATTATCTACGAAGTATACACAAATTAACATATTTTTTATTTTCACAAGCATTTTTATTCTGACGAATTTTTCGTGTAAATGATGTCGATTAATAAGCCATTTAACTAATGAACACTATGCATTATTAATATTCCTCACAAATACTTAACACGTGACTGTTTTCCTTGTAATTCATTATAGACTCGATTGAATATTTTATAATATGTAATGTAAAATTGCATGCTCGTTTGAGAATTAAATGTTTCCTTTCATTCGTCGAATTAATATACTACCAGCCATTAATTTCAATACACCTCCGTGTTTGAGATGTTTTCGAGGTGAGATAGCGCACTCGGGGCATTCAAGCCGCCAATTTTTCCATAGATTCAACTTCGGTTACCTACCATTTCCCTTGCAGTACATAATATAAACAATTTTTATTCACAATTCGTCCTCCTCAAGTGCATCTGTCAAGGTGCTCCCACGAGGGATGTTGCAAACTCTCACTATGCAGCTTTTCTGTTCTAAACTTCGCTATCTGTCAAGTTATGAATATCGAATATTTTACGACCACTATACGCTGATATTGTATGAATGAGTATAAACCTCCCAGACAATAATAGTTCGACTGATTTATGTATTACGTATTATGACAACCATTATTTACATTCGTTTTCTTTGAGAAAGTTACAGCTGTGATAATATATTAAAATTGACAGTCGGTAGTGTACTTTTTTAACACATTAGAACCTCCATTTTTCAGATATCCTTAGGTACATGGAATACCTAGTTCTCAAGTACCCAAAAATAGTGGAACTGATAACGATAGGTCACAGTTATGAAGGACAGCCCATAAGAATGGTAAAAATTTCAACCGGACCTAACAGAGTAGGGGAGGCCAAGCCAGTCATCTGGATAGACGCTGGTGAGTTCCACTTTTTCAAAAAATTCCTTCGCGAACGCGTTTACCTAGTTACCAGAGAGAAATACATGGAGACTAAAGAATTGGATCGTGCTCGATTTTCGGGTGGACCAACGTGAAATTATTCATACAACAGAGAAATCTGGTCAATTGCGTGACTCTATTATTCGGATGTTTGACACGAAATCCTGATCCATACTTTCTATCAGATTTAATGGCAGTTGTAAATGTTGCAGAAAATGAAACATGTGAAGGTTGTGATGTCTGGAATGTATTGCTGAAACAATTACTAATATACGTGTATTTTAAGATTCATATCATACGACTTTCGCCTCGTGCAAAGCCAATCGTTGTTGCATCAGATTTGATATCTGTATATCCCAGAGCGAGGAAGTATCAATCGATCAATTACAAGCTTAAACAATTACGATGTTCAAAAATCGGATCAATCATAGTCAAGAATTAAATGAAACGATTGTTTGAATTATTCCTGTGCGAATATGTTTCGATGTATCTTGAAGCCCTTACATGCGTCACATTGATATGCCTTGTTCTAGTTCTATGTCTATGACTGTTCCATATTCTACACGTTTCGTAGCATATATTTACATACTTCAGTAAAGTAAAAATAAAATTAAACAACAAATTCGAGTTTCTTCGCATTAGGCTTGCTAAGACTTCAAAACTAGATTTTCTAAAATGTTGTATCGCGTTACTTATCCCAAACCTAATTTATCTTAAGTGTATATTATCATTCAAGGATCGCAAACACACTTCCACTTAGACACTACCAGAAATCTATTTTAATTTGTTAAAACCTGGAAAAGTTAATTTTTAACTGATTTCATTTGAAGTAAATACTATCGCAATCGCATGGAAATATTCTTATTAGAAATATCTAAGACTATTACTGATTTCACTTTATTCTGAATACACACTCTTACAAATTCATGACAGCACGGACGTAATTATTCAGATACGCAGACATTCTAAAATCAACTAAAGGTTACTTTTTAATGGACGCTATCCTAAATACATGATCTTACGAACACAAAGCGTTCAAGCATCCGTGGATACTCTACACTACCTGACCTGACATAACAAGCCAGGCTCGGGCTTATGCTCTGGCGACTGAGTGCGCGCTAATCGGGCGCTGTGATTGGTTGGTGTTTTTCGTTAATAATTCAAAAATGAAGCCCCCATCGACATTTTTGCAAAAGAAATTATAGTTCGGAATCGTGTCAGCTACGCTCCATTTCCGGTTCTTATATGAGTTCTGGAACACTCTGTATTTAAGCGTTTTAGCGAAAAGATTGTTATATTTATAAAAAAAATCTTGAATAGTCGTGTTCGGACAAAGTGGATAGAATATATAATGCGTACGCTTTATCCGGTATAAGCAGAAACTAAATGAATTCACATGCCTTAAGTAAATCGAGCGTTGATATTTTTCCTGTATTGGTCAACAACTACGTACGAAAAACTTTGCAAAATTCTTCGAAGAAGAAAGATGTGGAACTTGATATGAAAACACTAGAGAAATGTATTTCAATCAATGGCGACCTTTATGCAACACTTGTAAAGTTTATATATTGTGCTTCCAGCACTTTATACTAGTTTGTAAACAATTTGACCCATTATTAATTTCAGCTGTAAAATGTTCTATTTAAGATTGTGTACTCATTTTGCCCGACTGGCCCACCCGCCATCTCTTAGGGTAAAGAGGGTTTGTGTAGTGTTTTTGCTTTTAATTATTATTTCATTTTGATTTTTATAAGTTTCATTTTTGTTCTGCGTTTTGAAAAGTTAGTTAGATAGCAAATTCGGAAAAACAATTGAAGAGCTTATGTTTTAGCGACAAGAGTTTTACTTTACTGTTTGAAGTTGAAGTAAAAGTCTGAGAACATTTCGAGAGAATAAAATTTCAAACCAGATCTGTCTGTAAGCGGATATAAGTCAGATCTATGCCCTAGATTACCTGCCACGAAATATTATAATTCTGTACTTGTCTGTAACCCGTCTATCGCGCCATCGGGACTCAGGGAATCGCTCCAGATTTTCGTCGATACGGAATTTCCATGCCCATCGCGTTTAACGCGACCCTATACCGTTATACCGTTCTTTTTATCCTCGAAGTGCCGTCGTATTCGACAGGCATGCACGCACGTGAGTGGATCGGCACTGCTGTAGCGACCTACATCATGAACCAGTTGGTAGAGAAGACTGCAAGCTACACGAAACTACTCGACAATTCGGACTGGATGATTCTACCCGTCGCCAATCCGGATGGCTACGAGTTTACCCACACTGGCGACCGCTTCTGGAGGAAAACGCGAAGCAATCATGGTGAAAACGAAGAGGGCAGTCGGTACGAAATCATCTTTCCCTGGAAAACTATGTTTCTTTGGGCACTGTGCTCGACGATTTCAGTTACTAGGGATCTGACTAGTTTAGAGCACAAAACATGAGTGATGAACATAGATGAACATGGATGAACATGGATGAACATAGATGATATTTTACTTCAAAAACTATTGCATGTATTTGTACCCTTTGCACTCGGAGCCATTTCGTTACAGAATGTGCGAACGGGAATCACGTCGTATTACATAATGTAACTTATAAAGCATGTAATTTACTGTAACGATACTTGAGCTTACATGAATCTTTAGATACCGAGGAACATATTTATGTCAAAAATCAAAACTGTATACTATTCTAATATGTGATAATGTGTGAAACAGTCATACGAGTAGATATGCATTGATAGTTTCTATCTTTTAAGTTGCAATCTTCGGCTTTCTTGTTTATCCTCATAAATTGCATCATGTCATACAAGATATGTTCACACATATTACTTTCTTATACAAATGCTCTTTGTCGCTTTTTTAAGGTGTAGACTATTCACACATTCTTTTTCCATGTAGCACAAGCTCATATTTGCTCTATATATATCCTAATACATGTACCATATTTTTATTTGATTTGTCATGATATTTAAATAGAAACCTTCAAAGAATCATACACTTCAAATCATACAACAAATTTTACACTTCTATAAATTTATGCTGTATAATCACTAATAAAGTTTTCCTGGACTTACGATATCCACTCAGAAGAGACATCCGAGTGCAAAGGGCACGCAAGAATGGTTATCCGTGTCTTCTCAATATAAAAGTATTTCTTCAAGTATAAATTATTCATTGTTCTAAGGTAATGTATGCACGATTTTACATCGAAGCAAAACATTCTATCATTAAAAGACGATTCTCACTGCGAAATTCAACTTTTTTCTGTATCAAATTCTGGCATATTCGCTTTGAAAAAACTACGGTTTGTTTCAGTCTGTAGAATCGGATTACATTGGTATTTTCATTCCAGGCTTTTTCAACTCGTGAACCATTACGCGAGATGGTTTTGGGGCAGATGCGAGGGTGTCGACCCGAACAGGAACTTCGATTACCATTGGGGCGAAGTGGACAACAGAGGAGCGAGCCAGGATCCTTGTGACGAGACCTACGCTGGACCACACGCGTTCTCTGAGCCGGAGACCAAAGCGATGGCAGATTACATTCTCGCCAATAAAAAGAGAATTAGGTAGCCAGGAACCCTCAGTAATAAAACTAATTCTTAACCATATTCGCTATAATATTTGAAACAAATAATAAATAATTTTTGAAGTTCGTAAAAATGGGAAACGTAATCAAGAGGTACAATGTATTACACGAAGGTCATTCAAATATAAACTTGAGTTTTGTACACAGCCTCGTATGTGTGTAAATGTACGAAATTAACAAGTATTATTGTCAGATTTACGAAAATTTACACACGTATATTGTTCTCCTGTAACATTTTTTTCGATCCTTGAGAATTGTCACAATTGTTTCCAGATCTCTCACTTACTGCATACTTTAAACTCGAAAACGTTGTATATCGAAGATCGATGGAATGTCTGAGGCCATTGTAAAAAATTTAATTTGTTTCAACACAAGTAATGAATATTATTTTCAGAATGTATCTAACGCTGCATTCTTACTCGCAAATGTGGCTAATCCCGTGGGGATACACCTACTCCAAGCCCTCTGATTATTCGGAGCTGGCGAACGTTGCTAGAAAAGCGATAAATGCAATCTCGAAGGTTCACGGCACTGATTATCAACTTGGTCCATCGTCTGCCCTGTTGTATCCCACGTCAGGTATGATAAAATGAAAAATTAATATTGGTAGCCGATACAAAGCACGTTACTAATCCCCTTCTGTTGATAATATTCAATTATCGATTAAATATAAATCGTCTCGGAATTTCATAATTAATTAAAGAGATAAGTGGTGAAAGAATGTCTCTTACACAAATAAAAATAATTTGTTGAAATTTTATTGCATCACATTGTGGTGATTTCGTTCCGAGCTAGTAAGTGTAAAATACTCGTCAATAGTGTAAGATACCGCGACAAACCAAAAAAGTATCCGATTTTTGAACAACGGTAACAAAAGCAGTAAACATTCGATTAATACAAGGTTTTATATTTCGTTACTATTATGCGAATGAAAAGAAATTCCAGCAGATGTGTAAATTTTATTGATTGAACTTTTACCAGAGCTCGGTCACTTCTTTTGTTTATATTTTGTAAAATATTGAGAAATTGACAATTTTGCTACGTCGTTACGTAGAGAATACATTGCAGTTTATGATATTTTTGTTACAACTATATCCGATTTGCCGAAATCTTGTCCATCGGAAAGCCATCTCGAAGAAAAATTGTTTCGCAAGATTGCGTTGCTGAGGGTCAAAAACAACTATTTATTAAAATGTTGCTAATACTTTTTTTAATTCATATAATAGTAAAACAAAATTCACAATCTCATATCACCTGACTATTTGCTTTTTTCGTTACTGTTGCTTAAAAATAGTATACTTTTTTAGCTCACAATATTTTAGAGAAAATTGAACGAAGGTGAGGCAATTTTTTAATTGAACTTCTATAAAATCTATCTAAAGTATACCTTATTAATGAGATAGTCAATATTATCGATAAGGATAGGTAAAATTCTTCAAATATGCGGTTATAGAGTAACAGAAATTTTAGTTAATAGTTTCATTACAAATATAATAGTACGTATACTTCCCTGTAAAAGAACTTGGACTATTCGCAAGAATTAACAAGTATTGGGTCAACCAAACTATAAACCGTCTATAAAATACTATTAAAGTCAAACTTATTTGCACACTTTATGAAACTAATTTTAACTTTTTTAATCCGATACATTTCGGAATAAAAAATATAGAAATTGTTTTCGTGTCTAAGAAAAACTAATCTAATCACAATCGTTTCACAAAGAACAAAAAAGTGTCAATTTATGAATTTTACGATCGAAGATAATAAATCCCTGTAATTTTCCGTCTCATTAAAAGATCTTTAAGTACTTCATTAATAGTGTCTGGAAACCCTACTTACGCGATAACGCGAAAAGCAAACTTATTTCAGACGTGAGCGATAGATGTCGATCGTACAAATAATAGAATAGTGAAAAAGAAATGGTGACTGTTGTCAGTCCTTGATCCAGTTGAAACTCGAGATGTAACTCGTGACAATCGTTTCCAGGTGCTTCCGATGATTGGGCTAAGGGTGTAGCTGGAATAAAGTACGCCTACACGCTGGAATTGCGGGACCGTGGAACATTTGGGTTTCTACTTCCTGCATCGCAAATTGTACCCACAGCTCGCGAAATTTGGTCTGGGATAAGAACCATCGTTCGACTGGTTACTTGCAACACGTGAAATTCATTGGGAATAATTTGTAAATCGACCAAAAACCGTGTACGCAACGAAACGAAGATAAAAACAAATATCTCGCGTGCTTCTTTCGATGAAAAGAATGACCGCCAACAGGTATCAAAAATAAAACGTTCGTACGTGATAAAAAAATTGTAGGAGATAATGCCGAATTAGATTTCATTTCGAGATTTGAAATCAGTTCAAAGTTCGCTAGTCTAATCTTTCGATTCTCTCGCAAACCAGACAAATGTAGATTAATGTTTAAATAGTTTTCTTTAATTTATTTTAATGCTTAATTTTAGTGTTGCCCATATTCACGATGGGCATGTAAATATTGTAAAGTTATTTATCGAATTATGAGAAGTAGAATCGAAATTTTACTAGTTCAGCGTAGTGTACGTCCATTAGATAGTAAAATTACTTATTTAAATATTTATTTAAGTAGAATGTAGAAAAATGTAAAGTGAATAAATCAGTTTTTAAAAGGAATTGGAATCGAGACTATTTTCCATATTTGTAAATCGAAAGTGGTCTGAGTTCAAACACTATGCTTTATATGAAAATTTTCATTCGAATTTTGTGTAAATGTTTTTTCAATTTAGGTAGTCTTATGCTTTTTGACCTGAACTTTCTATGCGTTGTTTACTAAGACGACGTGCCATAATAAATATGAAAGAAATTGATTCACCTACGTGGCTTTATTTGTAATTTATGCATTGCTATGTAATGATAACTTCATTTTTTAAATTAAATAACATTAACCAATTTTATTACTTTGGCTTGGGGAAGAACTTATTAGCATAAATAGAACGAACAGTGATGAATATGTTACAGGCACGTAACGTTGTCGATGAAATTGCAGAACAAATTTTAACCGTTCCAAACTTTTCATTTTCATTGATTTCAGCTTATTTTTCAACACTTTTTATCAAACCACTCTTGAAAGTTAAATATAACCATTTTTAACGTAAACATAGTACTAAGTGTTTCTGTTATCAATTACACGTTTGAATTATCGCCAAATATCGATGTGTATAATCCTATATAAATCGTAGTTTCCGATTGAGAATCATAAGTTGTGAGAAGAAATTCAATCAACAATGTTGACCAAGTGCTTGTTAGCAGCGATTCTCGTGCTCGAAGGTAAGTAATGCAATTTGTCGAACATTAATTTACCATTTCACATTTTCAATAAGATCCATCATCGTGCTATAAACGGTTCACTGTTTTCGAACAAAATCGTTCGAAGAGTTAATTCTTTTAAATATTAGTAACTTTTTCTTTTATTTATACTATGAAACCCCTTGCGGGATTAATATAGGCAAGCGATGCATGGGTCAGGCGCTGTGATTAATCGGTGATTTTCATTAATAATTCAAAAAAAAAATATATACATGTCGAATTGAGTAATCTCGTTCTTTTCGAAGTCGGTTAAAAACAAAGCACCGTCCAACATTTTTGCAAAGGAAATTGTGGTTCAGAATTGTCTCAGCTACCTCCTATTTCCGGCTCTCACGCTAATTCTGGGATATCTTGTATACATTGTGCATATATTCTCGGTACATTTATTTTTGTAGTAAAATAAAAGGTTAAGTTATAATAAATATTCCAACAGCGCAATCAACAACGACGCAACAAAATGGTTTAACTAAAATGATTATAATGACTTCATAGTGTGCTGGGCTATACCCCATAGCCTCAAACCCCGCATCACCGATAGCAATGATGCCGAACTCGGAGAATTCCCATACCTGGTCTCCGTTCAATGGGGATTCCCACCTCTAAAGAGTTACAGCCACGTCTGCGGTGGTGCCATCCTCAACGAGAAATACATCTTGACCGCTGCCCACTGTATTCCGAAATATGGTAAATTGAGAGTCGTCGCTGGCAAATACTACCTCAACAAACATGAACAATCCGAGGTGATCGTTGACGTCGTTAACACGATCATTCACAGCCAATACCACACGTGAGTTTGCGAATAATTTGAAATACGTTAATAAACAAATTGACGAATTTGTAGTTGAAGGTGTAGCGTAGCTGTTGGTGGTTTTACATAAATTAAAACACTACAAAAGTAATCCAAACGTAACAAACGAACGAAATTATGTCTTAGAGATAGATTTTACCGAAGTAGAAACCGGAAGTATCAAAGCGTTGGTTTTTCTGATAAACGTTTAAACGTCAACATTAAATCTTTGTTTCTCGATTAGAGTTGTACTTCGGCAGATGAAATCTCTCCGAAACATTAATACTAAGTATCCCGTTAATTATTTATCGACTGCTGCGAAAAGTATATAGGATTAGTTTCGGTGTGTATTTCAAACTCCATAGTCAACCACACTAAGAAATAAACCTCATGCTTGGAGACTTTTCACTAGTTCAATAGAAAAGCCAAACGAGATTAGAGGTTCAAATAGAATATCGTAGGTCCTATGTCACGCCACAGAATTTAAATTGCATAACGTTACCTTCTCGAAAAGTGCGTAATCACAGTACGACACTTTTTGATTCCGAAGTAAGCTGATACTGAAAATACAAAGTACTGTATAAAAAGCGTCACATGTTTTATTGACATAATTTTTGTTACGGACTTACAGGGACAGTGAAGAAAATGACCTCGCCCTTTTGAAACTGGAGTACCCCCTGAAATTCAACAATTTCGTGTCCGCTGTCGCCCTGCCGGAACCGAAAGCAGAGCTGTCTGGAGAAGCTGTTCTTTCTGGATGGGGGTCCACCTCTAAATTGCCTCTTCCTATTTACTCCAACGTTTTGCAAAAGGCTGTTGTACCAATTCTTGAAAACGCCGACTGCCTTCAGGAACTGACCAAAGACCATCTCATTGGCAAAGTACCTAAACTCTTCGACTCTGAGGTTTGCACCGGAGTAGCTGGCAAGGAAGTGTCTGCATGCATTGTAAGTAACCATTCTCGTTTTCCAACTATTTACTTATTATCCACAAGTGAAAACAAGAAAAAAATATTATATGAAGTTTGTTTATAAATGCTTTGTTACAATATTATTGGCAATTTATTGAGTCGAATGTATATTTTTCTGACAACGAATAAGCAAATACCTAAAGCTTGGGTTGATGATAGCAATAGAATGGGTTCATTTATTCGTTTCAATTTCAGGGTGATGCTGGTGATCCACTCGTCCAAATCGTTGACGACTCTCCCGTCCTAGTTGGTATTGTATCATGGAATATATTGCCATGCGGATCTCGCCATATGCCCACTATCTACGCCCGCGTCTCCTCCTTCATCGAATGGATCAACGAGTATGCCGTATAATATTCTACAAAATACTTTCATGCGATAAACTAAATCCTACAACCTACATCGATTGTACACCAACAAAATTGAATCTTCTTTCCATGAAGAATGAAGAAGACTGTAATTATAATTCGAGATTAATCAGTCTATGAATGAAAATTATAAATGATACGTTAAAAATAAATTTAATTGAAATAAAGATGAAGTGCTTATTCTACCTACTCCCTGTTTGAGAAGATTATCGGTAAACTTGATTGTGGCATTGAAAACTCACCATAGAGGTAAGAGATATTGTGAAGACCACAAAAGAAAGACGTATCCTCCGTGTGGATGTCAAATCATCATTCTCTTGCGATCCTACCGATCAAATCAATGTAAATCGTATTATCGTTTCGAACGAACTTGTAGGAGTGAGAACAATAGACAAACTCCGAATAAAGCTGAGGTTGGGTTTGAATAACACGAAACCAGCTGTTCTTCGCCTCTTTAGACTTTTTTTTTTATTACATATTTAACGTCGCATCAACCTTTGAGTATTAGCGACAGTTTCTTATGAGGTTCTCTTCAATGTTAGATGTTGATTCATGTATGTGCTTTATCTCTGTACTAGATGACATAAAATAAACAAATAAAATAAAAATTCTATATCTAGTGCGTTCTAAGTTCGTTTGCAATAACTTTGTACAAACCAGAGATACACGAATAAAAATGATCTTGATTAAGAGTTTGTACAGAGATTATGTGCAAATTAGGAAATACAAATTCAATAGAAGAAATGAGGAAGGCTATTTGGGCCACATTTTATCACAAGGTGTCAACTGATAAGAAGCCACGAGACATGAATGGTCCTGTCGAATCGACGATGGTGTCGTGCTGTTGAAAGAAACCTAAATAATTGCACTCATGATCCACGGCTTACAGAGATAGTTCAAAATATAATCAAACCCATATAGAAAAGTTTATTCATATAAGATTTTTTATATAGCGTAGTTTAGGCGTGACCATACAGAGCAACAACAATAGTTTTAATATTCTTATGTGATAATTCGCGCCAAAACAAATTAATTGCGAAATATAAACTACCGAAATTGCAGAATATCTACTGATAGCAATTTTTAACAAAAGTTATCATATAATAAAAGTATTTGAAGCAATGGGAATAACAATTGATCACATAACAAAAATTTTCGCTGATAATCGAGACAATCAGTGATTTTATTTGACCGATAGAGAATCTCAAGAAGTCTCAAATGAAGCGAGCACAGCATAAGAAGATGAAATTGTTGTTTTATAAGAATTTTATGAGGAAGAGGAACGTGTGTATGGTGCTGGAATAAGTGATTGATTTTAAGTATGATAAGTTATTTTGTACCGTCAAGTAGTGTATGAAACTTTAAATGCGTTTTTTTCGAAACGACATTATTCCAGTTAGCTGCTGCGGTAACGCAAAAACTAATGAACCAGTTAAGTTGCAACTTAGTAGAAATATTCAATAGACGTGTAATTCTCATACGGGACTAGGATATTTTCGATACATGCAAAATTCGAATTTTACAGACGAAAAGACAGTAATTTTTTTACATAGAAATTGAAATTTTAATTTCAAAAGGCTATCATCTTGTTATTTTTTAATATTCTTAAATTATCATAGTTTAAACAATAACCACATACTTATAGATTAAGAATATTTTTATTTTTGTTTGTGTGAAAAACTAAAATTATTTATATTGTACCAGCTACGAATGGTTGCGTCAAAACTTTCGTTGGAATTTTGCGTAAATCCGCCTAAAAATCTATCTAATAGATCATCTTTAGAACGGTCTTTGTACAGCAGTCCGTGAAAGAAAAAAATTCGATTTTTTAAACCTGTTACACCGAAATCCTCCTTAAAGCCGCGACATGTCTGTCGTCAAGAATCAGTTACCTGTGCTAATAAAGCAATAACTGCTGATTCATTTTAGGATCTCGCAAGATACCAACGACTCTACATCATTTTAGTCGACCGGTCGATAAATAAAATCAACGAAATAAATACTTTTAGTTTTTCGGCCGATAAACGGTGGCAGTGTAAAGGCTAATGATAGTCTGCCGATAAGTAATGGGTTAAAAACTTTTTGTGTGAGTTTACATTTAGTTCGTCTAAGTACGCCATCTAGACTTTAAATAGACACCGATCTAAGATATCTGCAGACATAAGTAATTAAATTCAATTTCTTTAGAAATCATAGCAAGTCATCAACCAGATTCAATTCTTTGTATGGATACAATGATCTGCTAATCAGTATTACACTAAAATGATATTGTACGTTTATCAGCACTCACTTGAAACTTAAATAATCTTTATAACCAATACAAATGTAATCATAACATCGATTAGTGATGTTATCGATTACAATTCAAAATTATCGCCGATAGCTGACGCGTATCATCCTATATAAAACGTAATTTCCACCGAAATCAACAAGTTGTAACGTGACGAATGTACAACAATGTTGACGAAGTGTTTGCTGGCAACGGTCCTCGTGTTCCAAGGTAAGGATACACTCTACTGAATTATCAATTTGTTAATAAGCCATCATACTTGAAATGTTGTAAGATGCTTGCCGTTTTACTTGCCATTTTATTCTTAGAATAACTTTCTTCGAGCTTTCGTATCGTCGATATTTCTGTTTTAATACAAAATAAAGCCATAATTCCATGGCTTAGTATTTCAATTGTACCAATTTTACAGTGTGCAGTGCTGTGCCCTACGGCCTGACACCGCGCATCACTGATGGCATTGACGCAGAACCCGGAGAATTCCCTTACCAAGTTTCCGTACAATGGGGCATCCCACCCATAACCCAATACAGTCATGCTTGCGGTGGTTCCATCCTCAACGAGAGATACATCTTGACTGCTGGCCACTGCATCATGAAAATTGGAAAACTGAGGGTTGTCGCTGGCAAATACTATCTCGCCAAAGATGAAAACTCCAACCAGGTTATCAAGGTTTCCAAGACCATCGTTCACAGTGGATACAAAGGGTAAGTTTCAGTGTATTTACACCTGACACTTTTCGTCCAGACTCCTACCATAGCTACGTATATCGATATTGTATGAAATCCAAATGTTATAATTAACCTTTTGCTCGAAAATTCTTAAACAAAATGAACATGGAAAATATATCTAATAGACATTAAAGCAGTGCATAATAGTAGAAGTATTATAGAGGTCGAAAGTTAAAATATGTAAAGGGTTTTCCAAACTGGGCTTTGGGATTTTGTTTTTAAGAAAACACTTTTTCCATGTTTAATTGGTTTTAAGAGGGTACTCGTTCTCTGGTCTTTACAAAATATTTGCTAATTTATATTAAAATAATTTCAAAATTTCGAAAGTTATAATTGTTTATATCACAGACCATCGCGTTAAGCCAGTCGAACACGAAACTTTAAGGAGAGAGGGATACTTGTAAGGTCGAGAAGGGTACTACCTCGCGACTATTTTTTTATGCTCGGTTAATATATTTTATAATTAACGTTCTTCTTTTCTAAATATATATGCTTGAAGATATAACGCAAAAGATTTCATTCAAAAACATTAAAAATTCGGGGAGATATGAGCGACCTTCTAGAGGGTCACCAAACATGGTTTGCGATGGGCAATGTTATGCAAAACTTGATCATCTGACATTTAAAATTTGTTGGTAAATTGAAGTATGTGAGAGGTTACGTCGAGAAAAGTATAAAAAAATATTACTTTCAAAGTGGTTCTAGAACGTTACCATAAAAAAAAGTAATTTTGGAAAAAATCGCCCGTTTCTAATGATTATTATGAAGATTATGATTAATTATTTTTTCCGAATATAGCTTTTATATACCTCTATAATGTGTTAAAATTTCATTCGAATCTTCAACCTGTTTTTGAACAAAAAAATTTTTTTTTGACTTTTCGCTTTTTTCAATTTATTCAAAAACCTCAATAGATAGAGGTCTGAAACTTGCAAAATCAATAACGTATCTCATTATTACCAACATACTCTCACAAGATGATCCAGATATCTCTCTAGGGCAGATTCACTATGCTTATCGTCCTAGAGCTTTTCAGAATATTATGTCAAATATTTTACCTGCAGAAAAAATCATGAAAATACGACTAAGTATTTGCCACAAAATACCATAAAGTACCACCTTCAATAACAGTGTTCATGGTTACAATTAAACGCGAAAGATAATGTCCTTTAAGTATCCCCACGACTACACTAATAGGCGTATTATGTTATTAACAAACAAAATCCTAAAGTTCATATAGCTAAAGTTTTCAGAATGCGGTAGGTTTCATCTCACCTGGTGGTATACAAACGTAACGCGCGGAATAGCTTTATCGGGACATTGTCAAATACTTCCTGATTGTCTAGTAAACATAAAAAGATAAGAGCCACACGATCTTCTGATCGCTACTCTATGTCAATAACGGTTATCCCGCGTTCCACTGACATGGTTTTCTTTACTGGTTTACAGAGGTGTTGCGCAACACGATATCGCCCTTTTGCATCTGGAGTCACCCCTGAAATTCAACAAATTGATTGCACCCATCAAACTGCCAACCCAAGGTCAAAGACAGTCTGGACAGGCTGTTCTCTCCGGATGGGGATCCACCTCTAAAAACATTATTCCCAATTTACCAAATGTCCTCCAAAAGGCTATTGTGCCAATCCTCGACAACGAGGAATGCTTGAAAGAACTCACTTCTCAGCCCGTCATCGGTCAACAACCTGAACTCTTCGACACCCAGGTTTGCAGCGGTCTCGCTGGCAAGGAAGTGTCTGCTTGCTCTGTAAGTCAATATTTTCGTTTTCCAACTGTTACATTGAATAGATACCTTGAATCAATCAACTCAATCAGAAAATTTCTCCAATTTTATTTTCTATCATTTAAGAAATTCTTGAGATATTGAAAAACTTTATAGATGATTTCGTTTGCTTAGCAACATTCTGCTTGCTCTCCGTCTACCCAGTTGGCTGAGTAGACTGAGTAAACTGTTTCTATTAGACTAAACAGAATCATGAATGATTTCTTACATTGTTTTATATCCATTGTCTTCGTAGTTTACTAATTAAAAAGTTCAATGTGTATTGTTATTAACAAAAGTAACCGAATACTTTACATTTGTTTCAATTATTAATTGGTTTATCTGCCTAATATTTAGGGTGATTCTGGTGGCCCACTCGCTCAACTTGTTGGCAACTCCGCTGTACAAGTTGGTATCGTATCATGGGGTATGATGCCATGCGGATCTAGCCACATGCCTTCCGTCTACACCCGTGTTGCCTCCTACGTCGACTGGATCCACCAGCACATGAAATAAATTTTTATAGAACCTTTTCTTGTAAAACAATAGCAAACTTGCTTATTCATTTTCTGAACTATTCAAAATACTTGAATTGTACCATAATCAGATTACGCAGTTTATGTATACAAATTACAGACAATAAAATGAGAAAATAAAATCTGGCAATCATTTTAAATTGTTGTATCAAATATATGATTTGAGAAGATTATCGATAAGCGTGATTGAGCCACTGCAAATTCCTTTGTAAATTAGAAGGGATTTTGAAACGACTGATAAGGCAAGATGAATTGTCTGTGTAGATGTCGAAATCACGCAGACACTCTCAGTCGAATCAATCAATCAAAAGAAATCAATATAGAAAGAGTTATCGGAAAAAGGGAATATGCAATTATAAGAGCGCATTGTTTACGAAATAAGAAATGTGAGAGAACATAATCTTTGTGTACGTATGTATAGATATATTCACATATATATGAGTCGCATCTTTGCCTATTATAAATATGCATGTGTATACAAATTTCAATGTAACAAAAATTGTATCATATATAATAATATAATATATAATCTAATTTTTATGTCAAATATATTCTATATAATATGTAATATATATAATCTAATTTTGATTACATTGAAAATTAAATATATATATATACTAACATGACGTTGAAATGATATTTTAATTTAATTTTCAATGTAATCAAAATATATATATATATATATATATATATATATATATATATATATATATATGTGAATCTATTGTTAGTTACGTAATATACTAGAACAAATATGCATTTATTAACGAAAAAGCTTCGATGATCTTGAAATCTTGCAAAAAAGAGACGATGAAAAAAAAATTGTTGCAGCTATGTGCTCCTTCGTACCATTAATTTGTTTGTAAAATATTTTTTGTATCATTGTGATTGGAAGAGATATTCAAGTGGCCTGGTTTACGTAGGTCATCTTTCATCCTAAAGGGTTTTCCAAAAATGGATTTATATTTTCATATTACATATAGTATAAATGGTTTGGAACATATTCCGATCTTTTTATGTTAAGTAAAAGTGCACAAATATTGTCGTAAACTATGCTTTTTAAATAACGGTACAGAAAAAGTACAACGGCATCAAGTAGTAAGATTTAGATGGCCAATTCATATCTTGTTGAAAATAAATGTTAGAACAGAATTAACACAATCATCCTCGAAGAGAAATGGACCGATGATTTCGTCAGACTACAAAGAACGTTTATCCGTACATTTGTACGGATGGAGCAATTATTAAGGAATACCTTGAGGATCCCCCGCTCTCTACCTCACCAATGTATTAATTGTGTCCATTGAGATATCCATCTAACGTGAAGTAAGTCTCATCGTTGATAATGATTTTACATGAAAACTGAGAATCTGTCGCTCTTTGTTCTAATATACAAGTAATAAAATTTCTGCGTTACAACGACATACTGCAACATTTTTATATGTTTCAAAGTAATGTACGTGACATTTCATTTGAAAAAACGTAAACACTCTCTAATTACCATCATTAAAAAACCTCAAGCTTCATTCGCTAAAAAAACCTGTATTAATAACGAAATTTTAATAATTTACTTATGTTCTATCTTTCTAGTATTTTATTTATGTTTTCTTTATACTTCACATTGCATTATTTAAATTTATTTATTTTAATCCCATTTAATACAAAATTTGTCCTTGACTACTAGACTGCATTAATCTGAGTGAAGACTTCGGCGAAAGGTGAAATTGATATATTTTCTTCACTTATCATAGAATACCATGGATTATTCTTTAATTATATCTCGAACACCTTCGTGCATTAATTCGTAAACTTTGTTATACAATTTTATACACAATGACAGTTATAGTGAGGAGTATAGTGTTTAAGAGTGCTCCTACTCCTTGTGATTTGAAACAATATGAGCAGTTGAATATAATTATGTTTTTATACTTACTAAGAGCAATAAAATGAATAGATTCCACCTTAAATTCAAGTTCGATCAAAAATTATAAGAACACATTATGACGATTGTTTACTGTCACGATATGGTCAACTATTCAAAGCTAGGTAAGCAAAAATTTAGGACAATAAGTTCATATCGTTCGGTGTGTCACTGTCGTGCATTTTTGAGGTTTTATCAATAGGATTTCTTAACGATTTGGGTCTATTATTCGTTATCGTTGAAGCTGAAAAGAAGCGAAAACTTGATACGATATAGTCTATATAGACAACAATATCCCAAGATTATCGAGATGATATCTACGTCAATAAAGGCGGCCTTAATTAATGATTGCACTATTATTGCACTACAATACTATCATCGTTATCTCGTACCGCAGACACGAAGTAGCACGTTCATATGTATCACGAATTTCTTTATCGTTACAATTTTTTATGCTTCCGTCAGCGTGTCGACACGAACACGACGAGCACTTGAGTTCATCGATTTACCGAGTTTCATAATTAACAATAAAACGTAGGTATACGACGCACAAAAATCGATAAGCCAGTTCCATCAGTCACAATAAAACGGAAGAGATCACCGTGACGGATGAGACCTTCGTTATCGTTCCTATCTCGCGGACTGAGTCGATTAAAATCTAATTCTCGGCAGGGCAACGTCATCGATAGCCGACGAACGTTGTATATAAGCTCCGCCCCGTCGAAAGTTACATCAATCCATCGATATGTTTCTGAAAACGATCGTCTTCTTCGCCCTTCTCGCAGTGGTGACTGCTAGTAAGTCAATTCTTAATCAATATCCGCGGCTCATTCCGCCAATTACGTTACGGTGGTGGTTAGGAAGTTGCTTCCCTCCTTAAAAATACAGTTCGTGAATACATGAATATACTGTATATGTGATAGCTTGTGTTGGATTTTCTTTAATAATAAATGAAATTTGAATGCGAAAATTAAACCAAAAAAGTGATATTTTTAATTAATTCACTGCCAGGCAAATGTAAACCGTTTTGCTTTGAACGCCAAGATTTAATACAGACGTGTAATGTAGGTTATTATTTTGATAAAAGAAAGTGATATTAAATTTGTTGTTCCAAACAAAAAATTTACGATATTCTTTTGCAATAATTCGTGACTTGAAAGGCTATAAATTTATCCCCTTAGTAATTGCAATCAATTTGAACTACGATACGTCTCGTAGTTAGCAATGAATGGGTTAAGCTAATTATGAATGGATCCGCCAATTTATGTTCGTTCGGGGTATCGATAACCAACATTTCTTTTGCCTCCATCTAATACTACTAATCGTTTTCTTTTACTTTCAGCGCAACCCCAGCGTAGCGTCATCATACCGTTGTTCGACAGCCGCGTTGTCGGAGGATCCGAAGCCAAAGTTGGCCAATTCCCGTGGCAAGTGTCTCTGCAATGGGGATGGCTCTTCGGTCAGTCTCACTTCTGCGGTGGATCTATTCTGAACAACCAATGGATTGTCACGGCAGGGCACTGTGTTTTGGCCGTTCCAAACTATGGTGACTTCGTGGTCAAAGTAGGCAAACACAACTTGAAGAAGACGGAAGACACCGAACAAACCATCAAGGTCGCGAAGTCATTCGTCCATGAAAAATACAGCGGGTGGGTAGTCGTTTCAAATTCTGTCAAAAATGAACGATCAGGTTAATAACACTAACGAAGGTCTAGAACTATTCATTGATCAACTTCTGAGCTCATTTCACACTCTTCTTGAACTTAAATTTTATCAGGTTAAATTCCGATATACTTTTGGCTATCTATGGTAGAAAAATAGTTCTTGTTGTAAAAAAGATTTGGATATTTTCATTCGCGATAAATAAATAGAGAGAATAGACAATTCGCGAATGATATAATAAAAGTAATTAATTATTTGACTAAATCAATGCTGGGAAAATGAAGGGTTGTTTTGAACGATATACCAAAGAGAAAGGAAAATGTTTTAATCTCCACTGTAGAAAGTTCATATTTCCGAAAAGATTAGCCTCGTCTTAAATCGACGTCAAAATTGTTTTAAAAATCAAGTAATAGGAACATTCAACGTAACTTTATAGTTCGCGAAGAGAGCAAAGATAAAGTAATAGGGATTTCAAATGGAAAATAACTAATTCGTTAATTTGACAATTTCTAGAAATGTCGCTCCCTATGACATCGCACTGTTGAAACTGGAGAAGCCCCTGGTGTTGAGCAAAGCGGTTAAAGCGATAAGTCTGCCAGAGTCAGGAAGCACGCCTGCCGGAACCGCCGTGTTGTCAGGTTGGGGATCAACTTCGAGAACCAATACCGCTCAAATGCCTGACGCACTTCAATATGTCGACTTGCCTCTCATCGACCTGGCCACCTGCAAGAAAGCCGTGGAAGACCTTACCGGGCCATCTCCTTTGCACGAGACCAACGTATGCACCGGACCCCTCACCGGTGGTTACTCGGCGTGCAGCGTAAGAAACCAGATTCAGTTCACAGCGCGCAACCGTAAATCGCTAACAGGAACGCATTGCTAACGATTTATCGATTTTTATTCTAGGGTGACTCCGGTGGCCCGTTGATTCTCAACAGCAACGGCAAGGCCGAGCTGATCGGAATCGTTTCCTGGGGAATAGTTCCGTGTGGCACGGTCGGCGCGCCATCCGTCTACACCAGAACCTCTGCTTTCAACGACTGGATGAAAGACATCATGTCCAAAAATTAAACTGTTCTTTTCGTTTTAGAAATTCAATCAGAAAAATTGAATAAGCGTGTCTCGTTTTCGGAAACTGAATTGGAATCTTCAATAAAATGTGTTAAAAATATTTTAACGTGACTCATTTTTATCGCGAAACCTGCATTGTTGCGTGCGACACTTACTCCCATTAGCTACGGAATACAAACGTAATTAAAATTATCAAGTTAATTATCGAGTTACGATTTTATCTGAATGCCACTCGAATGCTTCGTGTAATGTGCCTTGATATTGTTTGCACTCAAACGTACTTCCGTATTTACAAATTTCGTATTTTCCTACAGAGGGATTGTTAATTCTATTGGTCAGCTTTTAACAATTTAATTACTAATTTATATACACTACACATACACGATTGTGCTCCAGATATTGACTTAAACCTGTCGTATATGACTTTCGATGAAAGATACATTACGTTGAATGAAGTTCCATTTCCAAGTATAAATAGATATAGACAGGTATCTGTGATATATATATATAAAAATAATAAAGAAAGCAATATTGACGTTTCCATGAATTAGATATCATTGTGATAATGTATATAGTCAATTGTAGCCATAAAAACTATACAAAGCTTAGGTAAAAATGAAGAAAATTTGAAAACTAAAAGAAAAATAATCTCAACCAAAGGATTGGTTTATTTGAGACAGCAGAATTCTTTTCTTTATCCATAAAAGAATCATGTTTGCTTATACCTTATATATACCACGACAAATAAAACTTATCAATTTCAAAACCGTATCCACGATTATCTATTATTTATTGCCAGATTAGAAGGAGTCGGAATTGATTAAGTTAAAGCGGATAGACGAAACAACCTGTACATGGAAATTGGTTTTTCATGCACATTTCTGATGAGAATTGAGATTTCGAAACGTGTCTATAAGCAGAAGAAACTAGAGCACCATTGATGCATCCATTTGTGGCCTGCAGAGTTTCAAATACGGGAACCAGTTCTGATTTCCGGTTGGTAGGAAGAAAGATCTTTCCAGTTCCTCCTCGGGATGCTCTTCCGCTATCGCTTCCACTGCGTTGGCGTGAATTCCATTTAACCATTCGATCTTGATCGCTCGGACGAATCGAATCGCGTTAAAAATTTCACCCACGATGACGAACATTCGAAAATCGTTGGTGTTGTTAACGGTTCTAAGCTTCACTCCCGCGTTGTGTACCGAAATGGATGGTGAGCAGGGAACAATTTTTCTGCGGATGGTATCGGTGCAATCGTATCTAAACGATTCGTAAGCTACTTTAATTTTATCTAATGGTTTCGTCGGTAGAAATGATGCTGAAGATGGCGATGTTGGCGCGAAGGCCAACGAGGATAGTCGGGGGAAAGGATGCGGAGAAAGGACTACATCCTTGGCAAATCTCGGTGCACTGGGGTAATCAAGCGCGGAAAATTCGACAGAGACACGTTTGTGGTGGCAGTTTGCTGTCAGCTGGGTGGGTGCTCACAGCTGGACATTGCAAAACCTTAGCACCACCGGGAGAGTTCATGGCCCTAGCTGGAAAATACAAGCTTAGGGATCCCGAGGACACCGAGCAAAGTAGAATGGTAGCCAAAGTCTTCGTCCACCCAAATTATGACGGGTGAGTATCAAGACTCGACGTCCTTTGTAGAATAGAAAAGAAAACAACACGATAATGAAAGCTTATCTTCAGTTTCTAGACCTCTAAGAGTTGATATTTATTATTTAAGAAAAATATTAAAAATTCCTATTGTGTAACTGTGTTATACATATTGACGTATTTAAAAAATGGCTTCTTTTATCTTCAAAATGGACAGGTCCTTTTAGAGTTTGTGTAAGTGTAAGAAAATTCGTAAAGAAGGTTCCCATTTCTTTCTATTCTAACAAGAGAAGCCTTCGAATCCGGAAATTATAATTAGAATGTTACTTTGTGTGAATGTAGAATATACTGCAGTTTACAAAGGACTATTTCTTGTATGTAAATTCACTTTGTAGGGATGAAATCAGCTCTTTAAGTTTTCGAGCTTTATCGTTTTTTCGAAACGATTATTAAAACATGAATATTTAATTAATTCGAAGATATGATAATTTTAATTAAGTTGTAAAGTTCCAAATGGTTATTCAAACGTTTTTTGAAAAAGTAAAATTCACGAACATGCATTAATTACATCTTAACCCTCTATGGATTCGTGTAACCTTCATGTCACATGCTAATGCATTGACGTTTTAGTTAACAATGTTAATTAATCTTTTTTACAAGATGACATATACATGTCTTGATTATATAATGTCTCTGATAACTAGACCGTGGATGATACGTAATTATGATGTGCAATAATATAGAAAATATACGTAAAATGTACATAATGAATGTTGAAAATATTCTACAATTATTATAATGATATTGTTATTTCATTTTACATAAGTGTACATACCTTTTGGTTATGTTTAGTATTTTATTATATTAGTTTATATCATAAATTCATAAAATCCGCAGTCTATTGGTAACCAATAATAATATTGATGATCGTTGGCAGCATGAACCCGATACGTCAAAGTAAATGCCTTGCAAGTTGTTCCAGAAAAAACAAATTTGGTCCATAGAGGATTAAATGCATCCGTAAAATATCTGTATAATTTTTAATATAGGACATATAGCGAAATGAATGCGGTGTTTATTCTAGAACTGTGGCGCCGTACGACATAGCGCTGATGATGTTAGAACAGCCGTTCGATTTGAATCCCTTCGTCTCCACGGTGTCGTTGCCGTATCCTGATTCCCTACCCACGGGAGATGTCATGTTGACTGGCTGGGGCAGCATCGGAAGAACGCGTAAGCCAGAAGCCCCGGAAGTTCTTCAGGCAGCCACGTTACCAGTCATTGATTACGATTTATGCAAACTCACACTTGACAAGAGCTTGAAACGGAAAGATAAGAATCCTCTTCATGAAACGAATATCTGCACGGGACCTTTAGACGGTAGCTTATCGGCTTGCAAGGTGTATATCTTAACATTCATACCGAATGAATTGTCTATTCTATTACCGAAACAAGAATCGATTCGTGTGATTTGAAGATTCAGCTCAAAAGATCTAACAATATTTGTCTTGAAAATTCTTGTCTACAAAAAGAAACAAAACGAACAAAAATATAGGTGACCTGTAATGAAATCCGTCGAATTAAATAGTCCAAGTGCACGCGTACTCGATAAATTTTCAAACTTATTTTTTTCGAAAATAAAGCGTCATATGAAAACATTTTATTCTACATTTTCGATTCGATTTTTTTCGTAGAATCACCCCCTACTCGCTTGTACCACTAGTTACGGGACACCCTGTATATTCTAAGCTAAAATCTTCAAAAATAGAAATTGACTGTTACTTGAACACATTTTCCAGGGTGATTCTGGAGGACCCCTAGTCAGGAAGAACGCCTTTAATGAAGTAGAAGTGGTGGGAATCGTTTCTTGGGGTTTGTTCCCCTGCGGCGGAAAGAACGCACCCTCTGTATACACCAGAGTATCCGCCTTCATCACATGGATCGTCGTGATTATGTTAAATCATTCTTAAGTAACTACCACAAGAATTGTTAACGTTTATGTTATTCAATAAATAATATTCATAAGTATCGTCACTCATCTTATCCTTCAACAGTACAAAAACACTTCATATCAGGTTATGCCATAAATAATCCGTGTCGCATCTCAGAAATGTGTTCAAAATTTCAACAATACTGATGATGTCAAATCAACACTGAATGAGTTTTTAATTTAAAACTTCAAAAATTTGTTGAAGATGAAATTCAGAAGTTAACTGAAAGATATAAGAAAATAAAAGTACAAAGTATTTTCTTACACCGAATGTCAGCGTCGGTAAACTGCATTACTTATGGGATGACCTTATATGTTCGATATGCAGGCAGTATCCGATAATTTATACAAAACAATCGATGAGAAACGCGAACGAGAGTCACTGTAGAAATGATAACTCAGGAAGCTCGATGACTACAAGGTTTTGCAAGCCTCAGCGACGACCAAAACCGCCGCCAGAGCCTCCTTGGCTGTTGGAATGATGTAACGCGAGGGTAGAACGAAGCCATGCTTTCCAGTGTCTCTTAATTCGATCGTGAACGTGTACTTCATCTTTAATATTGCCTTGGCCCAATCATCGGAGCCACCAGAAGCCGCGTATAAAGCCGTAGCGCTGTTTCCAACTGTGTAACCACTATTAGCGCCACCAGCTTTCCTCATCTCTGTGGCCATTTGTCTGCCGACCTTCTCGAGGTCGGCGTAGTCTGGCGGAACACGTTTGTCATAACCCCATGGGTACAGAATGAACTGGCCATAGCTGTGGAACGACAGGTACGCCTACGCAGTGAAACGAATAACGAAATTAAGCGATTGTCTGGTATTTACTATTTGATATCCACAGTAGAGCCTTCAGTATCCAACCCTTCATTATTCGAACAGCCTAATATCCGAACAGCGTTTCATAGGGATGTTTACAGACAATATATAAATACTTATTTGTTCGGTCATAAAAATCTTAATCATAACAAGTAGTGTAAAGTTGACAATAGCGTACCGTTTAAATTGTTGAAGTATGAATACGAAATAATTAAAGTGCTCGAATCTGATGGAAGTGCTACAAAGTTAGTCAGAATACATGGTGTTGTTTAATTTACAACCACAAATATTAAAACGGAGAATATGTACCAAAATTTAGTGAGTGTGATGTTCACGATATAATGGATTGGTTTTAGTATGATACAAATGACGGAGGTATCATTCATATGAACTACAGATAAGCTAAAATAGAAAATTATAATAATGGTGAAATAAATAATGAAGTTCAATAAAAAAAAATTGATTCTCTTATTATCCGAAATTCGACCACTTTTGTCTTTATTAGCGCGGATACTGGAGGCTCAACTGTATTAAAACTTTAATCCTTAGGTAATACTTTAGATTTGGTATTTTAATACTGATCGATATAATTAGAAATAAATTAATTTTAGGCCACCATAACCACCGTACTTTACAAGTTATAATCTCGATAAAAATTCCTCCCATCTAATCTCAATAAAACCAATATCAAATTCGACACACGGTACTCTTTTTATCTTTATTTGTAGGTTTTAAATATCCTTGATTATTTTAAGCAAAGTGTTCAAACAGTAGCGATGAAATATTGAAAATATCCACAACGGAGTAACAATCCACAAATTAAAAAATGAACCAACTTTGAAATTAGCAGCGCTGGCTTCGAAAAAGTTCTTAATGGCGTTGGTTTCAGGTTCGGAGAATGGTCCAGAACCCGCGTAAATTTCGCGACATGGATCCTTACTGGTGCCCATGCCACCCCACCGATAACCAAAGTTTCTGTTGAGGTCAACGCCCGTACACGAGCTGCCTATCGCGCGTTTCCTGTTCTTCCGCCATAAACGGTCCCTGACAAAAGTGTATTCGTATCTGAAAAGTAGACACAAATAAAATATTGTTTATCAATTAAAACAGACATACAAATAAAACGAAACTTCATGACTCCAAAAAATACTATTTAATTTCGCTCAACATTTACATTTTATTTTGAAATTTGAATTTTAACCGGTATGAAACGGAATGAACACTTTGATGACCGGTGTCAATCCCATTATCACATCTAGAATAGTCTATTGAACCATCATCGTCACTTTCATATAATACATCCGACTTATGCATGATACAGAGATTATTTATAATCTTTACCTTATAATTTTATATTAAGGGGTTAATATTCTTAAAATTGTCTAGACTTGCCAGCTTTTTCTAGTAAAAATGTTGTCGAGAGCAAAGAATTAGATAATCGTACATACCCATCAGGATTGGCAACTGGCAGAATATAGTAATCAGTCTCGAGATTATCGCTATTTTCGACCAGATAATCGATAATATAAGTGACAGCCGCTGGAGAGATCCATTCTCTAGCGTGAATTCCTCCGTCGATCCACAACGCGGGTGCGTTCTGCTTCCCGTTGCTGATCCTCAAAACCTATGGTATTGTTTAGAATTTTGATAAAAAAATTCTTTAATTTGCTTCGTGCATTACTGCTTCGAAAAAAATTCATAATTGTGTTGATTTCGTATCACAGTCTGACGAAAATGAACCTAGTATCAGGTCATCCCATAAGTAATGTCGTCTCCTATGTTACTGTAAATAAACATCTGTACCACAATTCAGCAATGCGGAAATACAACTAATGAATCACAAAGATTTGTGTTCATAATAGTAACGCTTGACCGCATATAGCAAGTATGACAGCAAGTATAAGTAGAAAACAATAATAAACATTTACCTCACCCATCATACACCTCTGATCTTGCACTAAGCGATAACCATCTATTTTCGTGAGTACAATAATTTTTAATCGGAATAAATTCAACAATATTGAATACGTAAAATCAGTACTGGATGAGTTTTTCAATTCAAAGCGATAGATAGTTTATAAAGATGGAATTAAGACGTTAATTCATGCTTAAAAATAAACGTAAGCACTAATTTTTTGCACCAAAGTCAGCGTCGGAAATGGGATGACCTGATACGTTTCCTAATCATGAATAATTCTACGACAAGAATTTTTAAATTCACAAGAAATAAAAATACGAGGCACAGCGGTTCGACATTGTTATCTTAGGTCCTAATAGTCGAAAAGAACTACCTTAAGAGGTCTTCCTTCGACGGAGTTACCGATGCTCACAACAGAGCAAACATCAGGGAAAGTTTCAGCGAGGTAATCGAGGTACGTATGGATGTCCTCAAGACGATGGTAACTGGACCACTCCATTCGATGACCTGACACGTATACCTTCAAGATTATTCAGAGGTTGCACGTTCGACGTCCTTAAATGATACGTGAGAACATTCCGCTCCGTAGATTCAGAGACGATAGATATCGGTATATATATGTACATATCCGTGTGATTAAAATCATTTGTCGACAATGTTTCGTAAACGACAGCCGTGATTCTGAATCGACGAAGCGGATTGTCGCGCGCGAGAAGCTCACCCCTAAAGTGCCAAGGGCCACCTCCACCGCGTACGCTAGTTACAGGATAACGAAGAGGACGAGGACGAGGTCGTGAGTATCTATCACGCACTCTGACCGCGAATCCCTGCCACCAAGCGTAACGAGCTAGAAAATTACTCAGAAACTCAGTGTTCCGTGGTGTACTGTTGCCTGTTAGTCGAAATCGCAGCCAGAAATGGAGCAGATTCATAGAATTTTAGGAAATTTAATGGGAAAGCCTTAAAACGTAACGGTAGACCTTACGGATCAATTGACGTTTGGATCACTCGGTGCGTGATTCCTTTTGGAACAATTTGAACTTGTAAATCCTTAAAAAATTAATGGAAATAGTAACCAAGTGAAAAATGCAATAATATCCAGAAAAGAGTTTTCTTTTTTAATCCTGAAAACCTTAACAAAATTGCGGAACTCTATTAAGTACTGTACAGAGTTGAGTAGTTGGCTAACGAGTTTGAATGGTAACAGTATAATCTCATAGATTGTATAACACGAGGGTCATTCAAATATAAACCAACAATTGTGTACACAACTTTATTGGTGATAGATACAAATACAACTGGAGTGCTTTATTTTTCTGTGTACTTTTCTTCAACAGAATACATTTTCTTCGTCAGATAGGAAGCTTTCTAATCCCCTTAAACAGGCGTAGTCAAATGTTTTTAGATGGCTTTGTCACAAAAAAAAATCAAATGGGGAAGAACCTTTCTCGTCGCAACCATGACATCTTTACTTGAACTCTTTTTGTCTTTCATGAATGTTTTATGAATAAAAATGAATACTAGCAATAAATAAGTCTATAATTGATGTAATAAAAAGACTACTTAACAATTAATGTAACAAAATAAAATAAAAAGGAACTGATAAATTTTCCTATTCTTTGTTTTTTTTCACTGATCCTCATTATGTACTTTTTAAGATGGCCTCGTTTAACTCTGTTTCGTTCAACGCTGAAACTTATTGGAACGTATCCCCGCGTTGAGCGGGGTCTTACTGTACCAATCAAATTCGCTAGGTAGCTTTTTATCTCTACATAATAAGCGAGCTTCTCTCTATCTTTACGAAATCTTGTTTCTAGAGCATATTTATCTTCAATTACCGCACTCTTACAATATCAACACTTTACAGGATCATTAACCTACTGTTAGCAGATCAACGTGCCAGTTTGTAAGTAGCAATGATCCCGCAACATTCTCCTGTGCAGCAGAATCAGATCGTTTGCGATTCCAGTCGAATCACGCAGACATCTCGGTTTCTTTCCAACAATTTTCCTCAAACTGGGACCCCTGCCAAACTGAGGCGGGCAGTCCCAAGGATTTAGGTAACGGGACGGCGATCGAGATACACGACGATACATCATATTATTCAGTATCAAGCTTTGGCGGAGATGATCGAAATCACGCGCGTTGCAGATAACACGGTGTAAGTATAACTGTTAATGGTAATCGGCATTATCGTCGGAACCGGAACTGGGTTACCAGGTTAAATCGCGACGAGGTCGATAACCCCGTGCCTTTCCATCGAAAATAGCCAACAGCTAATGATTCTAGACGCTCGTATCGCTAACGAATCGTGGCCGTGCATTTATTGCGGCCGTTAATCGGCAGCGAGAGCGTAGATCATTTACAATCCGTCCGCGCATTAGTATGTCGTTAGAGAAACGGAAGTTCCACGCGATTAACCCTGGAAAGACTAAGGAGGGGAATAGCGAAGTCCATCAGTCGGAAAATACCCTATCTCGTGTGAAATATTACCAAAATAATCTTTATTGTGCACTTGATACGATGCGCAGTGAACTCAATTCTAGAAAAAGCTGACTAAAAGTCGTAGAAGACTCCAGATTGAAATATGACCGACGTATTTTTTAGTAGATGATCTTATATGTGGATGTGTATAAAGAAAGTTGCGATGGTAGACAGCCTTCGTTTTTGAAATCCGTTATTTTGAAAATTGTATAAAAAAAGTACTGTGCAAATCGAGTGTTTCGAGTATTTCTATTAGCCATGTGTTGCTCAAATGCAATTATTCCCGAATCTCTGAGTTGCCAAGAACGTTTCTAACGTGCTTATCAAAATCACTTTCGAATCTATGCCCCGTATAAGGTCAGCGATTTGTTTTCATCGGCTTTCTTCGTTGCGTGACTCGACCGTACAATTGCGACGAGACACCTCGTCGGGAGCCATTTGTGTCAGTGGAACGAGTAAAATGACAAGTGAAACATTCTTTTTTCCATCGTCTAACGCGTCCACTTGTCTTCGCCATTTGTCGCCGTCATTTCAGACGAAGGTGAAATTTTCTGAACAAAGATGATAAATTGCTGAACGAGGATGATAAATTGCTGATTCGCAAACAATATAATATATTACACCTGCTTAGCGATGTATAGGTGAAAAGAGAAAATTAAGCGAGGGAAGCGTAAAATAGTAAGCCAAATTCTTATCGAAACGATTCAACGCCGCGCTAAAAAATTAGAAGGTAATTATTCAAACCTTTACGGCCTTCCAGCTCCAGCATCTCCTCCTCGGAGAGTACGTGATTCTCTTGGTCTATTTCTTTCTGTAGATCGTCGATGACCACCCAGTATTCCAAGTCTTTCTGTTTCAAATATCGAGAGACTCTTGGGATCTCCTCCGAGCGGACCATTACGTCGATTGCAGTGTCGTTTCCGTTCCAAAAAGAGAATACTGTATGAGACAGAGAAGTAAACACGAATAAAATAATATTTCTAAACTCTTTTCTATGAAATACCCAATGTTGTTTTATTATTACAGTGTCATGGCGCTATATTTGTCTTTAATACAAGTCCTATCTATTCTAAAATAGATTTAAACAATTTATAAATCGTTGGTACTAATTAAGGTTTCCGTATGTAAGTCGTATTCTTTGAATATTAGGACTTTCTGATAAATAATACATAATTCTTTCTGATACACAATACATAAAAATTGATAAAAATCCTTCGTTTTAGGGTTATAAACGTACAAAAATAAAAATAAAATTAATAGCATCGAACAAATAAGATAAATGTAATCATAGCGACGATTATCAAACCATCGCGTTAACGAAGAAGATTCGATAACAGAGATTACCGCCATGATCGATACTTGTCGCTATTTTTCTGTTTTGTTCTTGTGTATTTGCAATAATTCTATTGTAACATTCATGAGTCACTGAAAACAACTTTAAAACAATGAATTCAAACATAATATTTAAAACTTAATCATAGACTGTTCCTGGCTATTTTCATATATCATAATTTACAACCAACGTTTGCTACGATGTGAAAGAAATGTGTTTCGTTTGCATGGCATTTGCTTGAATGAGTTTAGAGTCAGAATGTAAAAGATTAAATTCAGAATCAATTAAACGAGCAAGGAGTAGGTCAGTGAGGGTACGACCATAAGCGAGCATTAAAATTCTTAATAGACTTCTGTTAGACTTAACCTTTTCAGTATTATGAAATTTAGAAGTTTTAACATTTAATGTAATTATACGGGAATTCCCCTTTAATATATTTTTATGTATAAAATTAAACAGAATTTGCATTTGAATGTAAGTCAACATACATAAAATCGTCCCATAGTACACGCGAAGATATAATGTTCGTAGCACTCTTGGTAAGAGTACCGAACGATGAAATATCGTCGCGTATTACGAAAAGGGTTAAACTAACTAATTTTTTAATTTAAATCTTATATTACCATTATCCCAAATACCAACATCTACATTTGCATTATAATCGATAAATTCTACACTACGAATTACTTTTGTCTCAAGGCTGTCTCAATTACCACTAGAGTATTTCTAACGAAAAATTACGAACATCCAGCTTCCTGAAAGTCGACAGCCACGCTGGACAACGTTTGTCCCTCAAGAGCACGGACCTTCCACACCTGAGCGCCATCGTAGGTCACCTTCTCGTCCCTCACCCTAACCGCCCTTTGAATGGTCTTCGAGTTCTCTGCGACAGGCTCGTCGACGATCTCGATCCAGTCAGGAAGGACGAACTCCCGTCGTTCGCGTTCGATCACCGCCGCCTCGACGACGGCAAGGACGACAACGATCAGACACACGAACGTCGCGATACGACACCGCGAACTGCGAATTCTGCTGCTCTTCTCCATACTCGGCCGACTATCCGCGTGTCGTCGACGGGCCCACCTTTTATGATATGCGACCCGGTCGACGATCGGGAATAACGGGACATAACGAGCGCCGCTCGAATCGCCTCGAACGCGGGTCGCTCGAACTCCCAGCTTCGAGTATCTTTGACCCCAGCCACTTGGCGTCGTACAGTGTCTTATTTTAGCAATCTTACTTTAATAAATTAACACTATGCTGTCCAGTGACACCACGTTGGTGTTTCGCGAAAATTATCGTGCAAATGTCTGTGGCACAAAAACAACTTGATTTCAGAATGACTTATACGTTATAAAGTTTTTACTTGGTGTTTTGATAAATGTCTGTATAATTAGTTGAATCATTAGATGAATTCTGACTTTGGAATGGTGTTGGGTTCATTGAGTTAACGATTCCCGGAATTCATCGGTTGTTTATGATATTTAGCAGCAAGATATCGCTTAGCGCCATTAGAAAGAGCCTCGACAGATAATTCCTCATTAAGATATTCATTGAAGATATTAATCGTGAGAAATGTTTCTATATTTTAATATCTAGTGATTGTAATAACTAAAAATTAATTTCTGACAGTAGTTAAATTATTTATTAACAATACTTATTGTTTAAACAATGATGGAGAATATGATGTTGTAATATTAACGTTTCATCAATTCTTTTCTCGCTGTATTCAACGAGCACTCGGATCAACCGTCAATGTTCACCATTCTCCAGTTTCTTCGACACGCATAAGAAAACGTCACAGATCTCCGAGGGGTGAAGATTCAGCCTTCGTGGATCCTTCGGTCGATACGGATCTCGCGATTTCGCGTGTATATTGCGTCGAAGCACCTAATTATATTTTCAATCTTTCTTATCTGAATATTTCGTTGAACGAGTCGCTTCCGCATTGGGACCTTCAATTATAATTTATAATGCGTTAGATTATAAGTTAGCTTAGGTTAACAAAAGACTCACGTGTACGAATGTCTGTCTTCTGCTAAGCAATTGTTAAACAAGTGGTTTCTATTGTTTTATCGTTCCCACATGTTTCTCTGCAAGGTGTTATTTTTCAAAAATTCTTTCAACGAATTAAACAATTTCGCCATCTATCGCCTCATTTTAGAACAGCTAAACATTCTACTACAGCTTTATATTGAAGTTCAAACGATAATATTTTACTTACCATGCAACATTATGCATTGCCAATTTAACTTCAGGCCACTTCGTGTAAATTCGGAATCTACTATCCTCTATTGATGAAACGTTTTTTGTTTCTTTCAATTGTACCAATTGTATAGTTTTATTTCCAGACATCTGAATAAGTTGTAATATATTAAACATATTAACATATGAAAATATATATAAACAAAAATGAAAACTTTCTATGATGCTGCAAATGTTTCTTTCAATAACGCAGAATTAATTTTCACACAGCAAGAAAGCGACAAAGTAAAAATTGCGAAGTGTTGCAATAGTAAAGATACACACCATGTTCATTTGTGAACCAGTGTGTCAACATTCGATTCATAAATTGGACTAATTCAATTAACACAGGCAAACGATTCACACTACAAAAGTGCGTGAGCGAGATTTGCGAGTTCGCAAACGTTGGTGTCGAGCCTCGGTATTCAGGTCGGTGCAGCGTCCACATAGGAATTTTAATTCGCGTAAATTGGCAATTGTAAGGAATTGCGTCGTTCGTTTTCTGAATGGGTTCAACATAAATGTACTTAATCCGAAGCACTTTGAAGGCGCTGCGACGAAGTGCTTCGAAAGAGACGCCATACCGCGCAGGCGTTTCAGTCTCCTCGCGGCGCCTCTGATAGCAGCTGATACCTCTCGTTCGAAGTTGACCGATGGAATTGAAATCGTCCGAGGATTCGGAACATTCGGGACGAAATCGTAAACTCATGAAGATCCTGTTGACGATTGGCTGCTTGGTTGCGGTCGTCGCGTGTTTAGAGGTACCGTTCCGTACTTAAACCCAAAAATGTCGCTTTATTTTCGTGTGCCGTTAGGACGACGTCGTAACGAAATCAGCGTGAGATTGTTAAATTGTGAATGTTCTTTCTGATACAAAAGTAATCCAAAATGTCGAAGACCGACTAACAAAATATTGGCAATTGGTAGATGTAATTGGAATATTAGAATTAAAAGGAAGCGGTGAAGGGAGAGGACACTACAAGGAAGTACAGTGAATGTACCAGCTTTGAATCTGTGAAAATTAAGATTGTAATTAAAAGCAGTGTGTACATGATTGTTTTCTTCGTTTTATTTGTCGAATACTATTTAGCGTGTGTATGATGAAACTTGGTCAACGTACTTCTATGAGCTCCGGATTACCAGGAGGAAAGAATCGATGTTCCTGTAATCCCGGTATAGATTGAATACGTTTTAGGTTTATGGAGACCAAAACGTAAGGTTTCCTTCGTGAATGAGTGGCATACATTTGCAACTGCAACATATAAGGTGTTTCGTTGAAAGCGAAATGGCTTAATATCTCACGAGGGAATAAAGCTGTAAAAAAAACGTGTTTTTATACAAATTACACGACAGGTCATTAATTTCTATACACTACCTTATTTGTGAACTTTTCAAGGGGGGACACAAGTAAAATGCTATTTTGTCATAAATTCACATTTATTGAAGCGGAGTAATCATATTTGAATTCATTAATAGCGTTTTCAAGCAATTGAACAGTTGATTTGCTTAAATTTTGCTTTCATTAAAGTACCAGCCCTTAGCATGCTCAGAGTATTCCAGCTACCAATCTTTCCAATGTTTTAACTTTGATTGCCTTCTATGTCTCTTGAAGTACCTCTTACAGGTGCGATAGTGTATTGAAATTAATGGCCGATGGTGTATTTGGTACAAAAGGGCAAATTACATGGTGTAAATAACTTTTTTGTAAGTAAAGTGATGAGGGGAGGGATTTAATAAACAAATGATTTTATTAAATTCACTTTATTATTTATAATAAGATAGCATTTGTATAGACAAATATATTGGCTTCTCATACGTAATCAATGATAATTTATGGGACCTCAAAGCCAAAAAGAGGAACGTCATCTTGAATGCGTGAAAATCATAGGACGAACAATCTTTTTTTCGAAAACAATTGACTTAATGAAAGATTTGAATGCTGATGTTTATTAAACATACATAAATTAATGATGTATTGATATATATTATTTAAAGACAAGTTTTATACCAGATTTTTTTAATAAAATGGCGATGCTGGATCCATTACACAACAAGGTTTCCACGAATGACTCTAATTGGTGTAGTGGCGTTCTCAGGTATGGTTAGACATAAAATGAAAAACTAAATATTTCCATTTTCCACATAATATGTACTGTGGAAGTATGTATACGGATTTTATGATAAGTTGAGAACATTTCTTGCTACACACATTTTTGTTTGATAATTTTGTGCTAAAAACGAGATTATATTTTTTAAATATCATTATTCTTATAAACACTGATATTTTGAAAAATCCACATGTACTTCCAGTGTGTATCGTGTAAAAATGAAAATACGTGATTCTTTATTTTAGGTCTAACCATAATATTGGTTATATCATAATTTTTTTATACCATATTACATACATGAATCGAACATATTCGTAAAACGCAGTAAATATTATATAGATAGACATAAATTATAGTTTATTCTTACCGTTAAAGTCGAATAGATGCACTATAGTGTCCGAATATTTTTGTGAGTCATTGTACTTGCATATTATACGTCATACAGTTCTACAAATTGTCATAAAAAATTGATGACAATTAAAATGAATATATTAACACATGCACGAATATAACTACAGACCTCTATTAATAATAATAAGTAATAATAACCTAACACGATTTATGATTATACATATATGTATGCACACTCTACACATTGTATTTCTTTATTTGTTTAGCCCCTTATAATTAGTAAGATATTAACACTTGTACGATGACTCGATACGTCGAATTTTCTTTTATGAAACCTCTCTTTATAACTGGAAGACTTTAAGCTCTTTCCTCGAAGCTCGAGTTACCGAGGTTGGATTATATTTGACACTTTAAATAAGATTAGATCCGAGGTAATTCATTTATGACACAAGTATTGATTTTCAACATTGTCATGATGGATTCACGAATACAGTTATAGGAATTAAGAGTATGGAACGAACAATTCTCAAACTGCATTCTTATCACCCATATTTGACTGTTCATAATCACAAATGTCCACATTTTTGCTGAAATTGATCAAATCTGCTACAGCATTTTACTTAGGTACTATTCGCTCCTTTGAAAGCAATTGTATCAATTTAGCGACGGAACATCACAAAAATATCATATCCATTTAGCTAACACTGTATCGTTCAATCTATTTATTAGCTTAATGAGAATATCGTCTAGAATAATTTTTAAGCAATAACGAGATCATATTTCAAAATAAAAAAGGTATACAGATCAACTGTACGCTGTAATTCACATTTTAACAACAGGAGTCAACATCATCAAGAGTTCATCGTACTGATAAAATTTGTTTCAGGGCGATGATCCGCAAGTCACCGATCAGGTGTACTTCGACATCATGATAGACGATCATCCAGCAGGACGAATCGTGATTGGTTTGTTCGGAAACGTTACTCCCAAAACCGTAAAAAATTTCGTCACCCTTGCGACCACTGGTGTAGCTGGGAAAACATACAAGGGTAGCAAATTCCATCGCGTGATCAAGAAGTTCATGATCCAAGGTAAGATTCTGACACTGAGACTCTGACTCTGAGACTCCTCTGACTCTGAGACTCTGACTCTGAGACTCTGGCTCTGAGACTTTGGCGCAGACGCGTCGAAATTTGATTTCAATGAGTGGTATCAGCAGAGACAACTGTTAATTGATCCTCTTGAACTTCGTTTCGATTCGTGTAATCATTTCAAATAAGACCATCAAAGCAGAGAGTCCAAGAGAATCAACTAGTGAACACTATTTGCAACTCAACAGTAGCACAACTGTTGTCTCTACTGAATACACCAAGTGATTTCTTTTCAATGCAGGTGGGGATATCGAGAACGGTGACGGGACTGGGTCCATCAGCATCTACGGTAAATATTTTGACGACGAGAATTTCGACCTTATCCACGACAGCCCTATGGTCGTGAGCATGGCGAACGCAGGAAAAAACACGAACGGCTGTCAGTTTTTCATCACGACTCTTCCGACGCCGTGGTTGGATGGAAAGCATACAGTATTCGGAAAGGTAACGAAATTAAAACGGCACAACGCAAGTGAAAATCGATGGTGATATATACTATTGTTCTGATAGGTTGTCAGTGGTCAGGACGTGGTTTTCAAGATCGAACAGACCAAGACGGACGCTGATGACGTTCCGGTCAAACCCGTTGTTATTTTCGACAGTGGCTTAATTCCTACGCCGCAGCCATTTGTAATAGTTGACAACACTTACAAGTAAATCAAGGACTTTCGCAAAATGTAGGAGTGCTGAGAGTAGAGGGTTGAGAGTAACTGTCATCGCAAGTTTACAAATTTGATCCTTTCTTTTTTTTGATTAATGAATGTCGTATAAGTCATATAAGTCGTATAAGTCTATCTTTTCGAAAAATGGAGCTTCACCTAGGTTATCAGTTTGACAGTCGGACTCATACATATGCAAGTTTGCCGAGCTAACGATTATGTGATAATTCGTATTTGATATTGATTGTTGACAAATTTTCTTATTTAATTCGAAAATATATATAACCATTTATGTCGTAATATAAATGTTTGATATCTTAAAACGAAGGAAGATGGACTTATATTACTTCTATCACGAACGGTTCGTGATGTTTCAATTTAACACATTCACTGCCAACTACGAGATGCTCGTATTTCAAATTAATTGGAATTACTCAAGGAGTCACGAATTTGAGTCACGAATTATTGCAAAAAGAATCGTAAATATTCGTTTTAAAACAACAAATTTAATATCACTTTTTATTATCAAAATAATAACTTAGATTACACATATGTCTTAAATCTTGGCGCTGAAGGCAAAACGCATTAAATTTGCCTGGCAGTGAATGAATTAAAACAGTTTTCATCTTCCGTGATCAAGAGCCGTAGACCGACTTGATGAAATATAAAAATTATATTTTATGCTTTTATATTCTTCTTTGGAGTTATACAGAAGTAAAGTAGAAATTAATGATGCTTCGAGTAGCAGTAGGTGGATGCCTTATTATATAAAGGTAGGTAGCAGGAAAGTAGGAGTATCGTGGTATGTATTTCTACCATGAAATGATATCATATAGATACAATTTAATTGCACATTACATAGAGTTATTGCATAAGGCTTGGTATGTTTGTAACAGGTGTCGCTTTTATGTTATGTCGTGTCAGTAATAGCAGATATACAGACCGACCATGACAAGTTGCCGAATTTGTTATTATTATTACTAAGAAAAGCTACAAGAGTTGAAAGGGGATGTACTTATGTATCTTATGTACTAACCATATTCTCCAGACATGGTCGAAAGTGACTCTTATTTATATTGATCGTTACAAAATAGTTTAAATGACAAAAAATTTGCAACTTTAAAAACTGTAAAAAGGCACATTTATTTGTCTTTTATTAATAAGCAAGCTAGTTTTTATAATAAAGGAATTCTAATGTCAGCAGAGTTATAGAAAAAGATATAGAAAACGAAGAAAATTACGTAATTAAATAAATAAATCATTTTCATTACCAAAAATTTACTTGCATGTGGCTAATAAAATGTAACAAGACTTATGCAACGATCTAATAGTTAGCACGATTTAAGGAAGATTGTAATAACGTATTGTCATATTTAACAAATTTTTCAGCCTCTGGGCATGGGCGAAAGCGACATGCATACCCTTGAGTTTCAGTTTCTCGATTCTCGGCTTCTTCCACTATATGATGAAGCAGTTAGACGTGTAATTAGTACAAATTCGTCTAAACATTCAATTTACAACGGGGGAATTGTTCCGACGCATACGTAAACAGTTGGAACTTGAAGGCGATTGCATTCTTGGTTCAGCAAAGTGATAATGGAAACGATCCAGTGAACCATAAGTGACATCTAACATCAGATAGAGGAACCACTTCTCAAGCGTTATCAGGAGAAATTCTGTAATATTATTTTGTAATCATTTCATGTAAAAAGAAAAAAACAATTAAAATACTTAACCACGCCTAAATTATTAATTACAGAATTTATAGATTTGTTTGTATCATTAATGCAGACTGGTGCATTGTATCTACTGCAGATAAGTATTTAAGCGCGGACGAGATATAAGTTAAACTTGACGTTATTAACAATAAATTTTTCTTGATTCAATTTAAGTAAAATTATTACAAAGGACGTAAAAAAATAAAAACAAAATGGTATAAATGAAGAATATTTTTTTAATTCATTTTACATTACTGATAATAGAAGTGATGAAATCTGATTATTTTGCTAAACTGTTATAATGAACCTTATCTATTTTTGTGATAAAAAACTACATATCATACGATCAAAAGATTTCTAAAAGACGAAATGTGCGCATATATGCGACAATGATGCAATTCGGTTAACAGAAGATTAAATAATAAGAATAGAGAATAAAATATAATGAATTAATTTTAAAATTGAATGCTGAATAACAAAACTATTTTCGTTAAGACTTCTTGATTAATATGTGAGCAGATTATACATATGACGCTTTACAATGTCCCATTACTAAATACCTGTCAAGAATTTGGAAAGAATTTGCCAATTAATTCGTAATTATCACTTAATAAGTAATATCATCTTTATTCATAATTCTAAGAAGTATTTATTCAAATATACTGAAATAAATCCCTGTTCGTTACTCTTTAGTGACATTCAATTTATTCTTTATCTTATAAAACGTACTTATTAACTATTTTATTGAAGTAAATAGTTATTAGACAATTTCTCGCAAAGATTTATTCGAATAACGCTTAACCGTGGCGCCATGGCGCGCCAGCGCAGTGATCCACCGACGAAGCCGTTTCCGTAGCTGCGTTTCTGACAATGACGCAGTAGATCCACGCAGGCGCCAATCTTTGACGCCAGCAACGAGCGTAGAAACGCCGTTTCACTATACGGCATTCAGTGTTGAGCCGGCTTGGGTCACCGATCGGTGACTGAAGTGAGTCACAGGCAACGATACAAGCGTAAACGGATGTGTAGCGATTCTCCGTCGTATACGCCTCGTGGGCGTTCGCGGATCGTGTCATTCGGTTAACCAACGCAAAACTTGTCGCGCGTCAGACTGTGCCGAATCGTGGACGGGCGTTATAGTGTGACAGTGTTGTGACAACGACATTTCGCGCGTGTTGAAGCCGGTTGGCGCATGTTGCTCTCCTCGAGGTTCGATCTGCCGAAAGACAGCTGGAAGAGACTCCTTCGAGAGGGATGCTTTGAAACGCAGCCACCGTCGTGTCGTTCAAGGTGAGCACCTTTCTTCCATCGTCCCTCGCGTGCAAGACCGGTTTCCGGTGGAAGATTTTCGCCAGCTGACCGTACCTTTTCAAACTGCTCCGAATGTCACGCGTGAACGCGCCCCTCTGCGTACAACACGATGATGGATTGTACATAGTTTCATCGTTTGCTTTCGCATCGTATCATGAGTGATAGAGGCTCAACCGTGGTAGTCGGCTGCTATCAGTGACGCTCTCATAGACAGCGCAACACGGGATTCGATTTTTAACCGACTTCCAAAAGGAGGAGGTTACTCAATTCGACATGTATATTTTTTTTTTTCTCTGATAAAAACGACGGCGGGCGTCGATGACGTAGAAAGTAACAATAGTCAGTTGAACAGTGACAGTAGTTGTCATTATTAAAATTGGAGCGGTGCGGAGTACTCTTATTTAAATTAAAGTACATTCATCCCTCGATTTATATAGTACTTATTTTACATGGTTTTTGAAATAACAGATTTCTCTTTATAAAAGTTGTCGAAGATAAACATTGATGCTGCGGGCAATTAGTGCAATCATTTTTTAATATTTTTCATTTGTTGACACTTAACATTAATTCCTTGCAGACGTTCGACGAATTTTCGCAACGATTTTCGGTTTCATATTCTAAACCATCATTCGAATACGAACAAAACGTATTGTATAATAGACGTGGAAAATACGACTACCCAAAGACACACACACTTGCTCAAATATTTAAGGACAGTGCTACGTAAGTGATAGTAATCAGTCGGTAATGACTGTAACCTTCGACACGACTTCGAATCCAAATATTAATAAAAACAAAAAGAATATAAAATACGATATTTCCTTAATTTATAAATGGAAGAAAGTTTATTTGCTCCATCAAATTATTTAACTATTGTATGTATTATGTTCCTGTCTTGCCTTTTGGCAAGAGTACCGAAGAATGGCATAGGTATCGTCGTGTAGCACGGAAAGGGTTAAACTTTTATAACTCCTAGAATAAAAGTAATACTATTGCATTGTACCAGAGAAGAAAGTATAGGTACATATTTTGTATTAGAAGAAATAAAAATTACTCTATTGTAAGAAATGACTGATTTTAATCTGATAGATTAATTGATATTATGGATGCAGAGATCGCGATTAGATATAGGAAGACACTGCACGCCACGCGGTATACGTTAGTTTCATTTGTCATTTAAAGTTGAACCTGGGTAACTCGAACCTATATAACTTTAAAACCTTTGTAAGGTTACCATTTCATTCAGTCCCTTCCCCTCCGTATTGAAAACCTCTACAAGTCGAAATATAATGTTAATTTAACTCACATTATTTGCCTCACACTTTACCTTTAAAACTCGAATTTAGAGTAGCCTGACTTCTACAACGCGAAGTTTACTTCTATAAGTCAAACTTCGATTATTCGTACCTCTACAAATCGGAGTAGGTACACGCTTACATATTCCGTGTCACAAAGTTCTACAAACTTCCATAGACAGATGTAAGAATACCGAAAAAGATGTATTCTCTTACAATTACAATTGAAAATACTATTATCAGAAAATACTATTGATCAAGAATGTATTAATACATTGAACCGTGATAAAGTTACAGGTTTTTTTTAATAATAACGAGTATAACCTAATCTAATTTATTATTATTATTATTATATATATATGTATAAGATGAACATATATATATATATATATACATATGTTCATCTTATACAATTTATACATATACATATACATATACATATGTAACTTGTCTTCAAAAATTAAATATTTCTTTGTTTGTTGACCCCTTACAATTAGAAATGTGTGAATCCCTGTACGAAATGTTAATATATCGAATTTTCGTTCATTATAATTTTCTTATTCAAAATTTCGATAAGTCGAAATCTCTATATAGCTCTTTCCTGGAGGTTATCCTCGAATTACTGAGATTGGACTGTATTATTTGAATATTCTTCGCATCCCTGCTTATAGACGGGGGTGTACAAGCTTGAATTGTCTGTGTGTATGACTATATTTATCTTTTATCCGTTATTCGAGATTTTTATCTAAATGAGAGTCCCACTCATCTCTGAATGAAAGTAGCGAGGGAAAGAAAGAGTGAGGAGACGCTGTTCTTGAAACCTCTTCCCTTAGCCAAGTCGATTCTTTTGTTTACTGTGACTTTACAAATGGAATCGTAACTAGCTAGCATCTATTAACTTTCTACCTCCCCTATTAAGTCTAATTAAAATTTCTTTGAGGGAAAGTAGAGGGTTCGTTCTGTTTCGTGCGGCCTACTGCTCCGAAATTTGCGCCGTCACGATTCCCAGTGACCCAGAAGCTAGAAACGAGCTCCGTTCCGTCGGCGTCGAGCACGAATCGCTCGTAAAGTCGCTGACATTTCGCGTCCTACACAGGGTGTTCCAGTAATCGCAGTACAACCGTAGAGGGAGCCGAATCGTGATGCAAAAACGAATCGAAAATGTAAAGTGAAATTCTTTTGTATCAAACAAATTTTTGATTACCGAGGGAAACAACTTCAAAAACCTGTCGGTCAAGCATCCGTTTGATTAATTGAGCATCTTGAAAATTAAAGTTATGACTATTTCATGTCAATTTTGCGTAAAATCATTAAAAGGTATTATATGTCATTAAAATTATTTAATTTGAATATTCAAGACTATTTGATTATTTAAAAAATGTAGTTAGCACATTAAATATGTACTTTATAATGTATATAATTTTTAATGTATATATATTATTGTAACACTGTGCCGACCGGTAACATAATAATTGGCTTTTTGACAAAGAAATCAATACTTTATTATTTATTACTGAGACAGCATTGTTTGCTCCCATAGTTATATGAATAATGAAGTATTGTATAATATTAATGTTCTAAAATAAAAAATATTGTTAAATTTAATTATATGTATAAAGTGTTATATATATTATAAATTTGTATGTTAGCACGTTCCGTGCCGGACGGATTTTTTAAGACTTCCGTTCAGGCCGCGTGGGTCGTATACGACGTATACGTATGTATATATTTTTTTCATACGCATTAAATAAGTTTTCCATACACAAATAATATTCGACACATTAGGGATCTTTTAATATAACGAGTAGTATGTATAATATATCTACAATTACATAAAATAACATTTTATAATATAAATGCATTTATTCAAAATACAATACAGTAATACGCTTTAAGAGAAATTAAAAAGAAATTTATTCTTAGCCTTGATAGAGCTCGATCCTAATGAATATTGATATATTCTACTTCTAAGACCTACGTAGTTCTTTCATAAAGAATCACTCCTCTTCCTGGTTGTGTATACTACGCTCGGACACCCGGTACACAGACGATTTTGCAGCGGGAATCAGATCAAACACGTTGGCACACGAAAACTCGTTCATCGATCTGTTTATTATGGGGGCGCCAATGGTAGGTGAAGACTAGTGAAAGGCGAAGTTGGATCGATTAATAATTTACGGAGAGATTGTGCCGTTCGGTGGTAATGAATCATCGCACGAGTCATGTTTCTTTGTTGCGTTTTCACCTGCTTACGCGACACGCGAGTTGCAGTTCTTGTTTAGGAAGACGATAGTGCAGTCACTATCGCGAACCTGGGAACCTCAGGTGTATACATACGTTAGAAGTATCTGGGTGACTAAAAATCTGGGCGACAAATTTTCTCCTGTTGAAAATATGCGAAAAGGTGACTTCACCATTATTA